TGCACGAGCATTTCAACAGTGCTCGCCTGATTTCACACGAGCACCGTTGAACTGCTCGTGCATTTTTGCGCGAGCAGAACCAAGTAATTTTTTTTTTTTTTTTCGTTTCATTATTTAAATGTTTTTTTTTTATTAAATGAAATATTAATAAAGTGTTTATTTAAAATGTAGAAAGGTAAATAGTTATGGTAAAAAGGTAAAAAACCATGGTAAAAAAATGCCTGAATGTTTAATTTGGCCTGCGTATATCACTACCCATATTTTAACAACCTGATATTTATTCGTTTAACTTCTTAGCCTGACCGAGGGATGCACGAAAAGACTAAAATAGCCCTTCCTGCATGCCTGGATCAACGCCCCACACACAGACAAATCCTGAAAGAAATGAGATACGGATAACACTTTGAATAAATATTCTTCCTCCACAATTATTCCCCCCCAATATCCCCATCCACTCATCATTTTCGGTGAAGAAGAAGAAGAAGAAGAAGAAGAAGAAGAAGCACAGCAGGATTTTTTCGGAGAATCGAATTTCCCCTTTTTTTTTGATTCACCGTAAATTTCCATGGCGAGGGCTCTGATTTCATCCCCTTCTTTCCTGGGTACTCCACTTCTCTCCTTCCCCCGCCATGGATTAGTACCTCGGGGCAGGCGCATCAGCACCAAAGTTAAATTCAGTCTCAATCAGCTCCCGCCGATTGACAGTCAGATTGACTTCGGTGCGATTTTTGAGAGAGCTGAGAGCTTGATGTACACACTCGCCGACGCTGCCGTGGCGACGGCGGACGGAGGCGGGGCGGCGTCGGACTCTGCTGCCGTTGTTCAGAAGAGTGGTGGGTGGTTTGGGTTCATTTCGGACGCTATGGAAGTTGTATTGAAGGTAACGGCTGATTTTCGCGATTTTGGGTTTTTGACGAGCTTTACTTTTAATTAGTTATACAAGTGAAACATTGAACAATATAATCATTTATCATGATGTATGGTGATCGAAAGACGATGTTTTGGAGCTGGTTCGTTATAAAATTCAATAACCAAGAATTTGAAGAACACTGTTCAATTCATTGGCATTGAAAACCCTTCAATTCAAACACTTTTTGTCAAGGCATTAACAGAATTCACGAACACGAAAAACTTTACTTGCATCAGGTACTCAAGGATGGATTTACAGCTGTCCATGTGCCGTATTCTTATGGGTTTGCGATAATACTGCTCACTGTTCTTGTTAAACTTGCCACGTTTCCATTGACCAAGCAACAGGTACTCTTGCTTCTGCAAATATTGCTACTCAGTTTTCTCTAGCCTAATTTGTTTATTTAACTATTTATGTTTCTGGGGGTTGAATTACTTTATTTTGTGTATGATTTCTTACTTCGGCCTTCTGTATGATTATCTTCCTTTGATAAACATCGATTTCTATCTAGATAGCATCTATTGAATAATCTGAAATTGTTTATATATAAGGTCGAATCAACGCTAGCAATGCAGAATCTTCAACCAAAGATCAAAGCTATCCAACAAAGATATGCAGGAAATCAGGTGAGCATCTTCACCACTCTTATATGAAAAACTATCATTTTTTTTTTCTTTTTCTCCGGTTGTGCATGTATAGTACTATTATCTAAGCTTCTTGAAAAGGGAATATAAAATACATATTATCGGGGTCCATTGATAATCATAACTATTGTGAAGACAAGGGGAAACATACAATACAAATTAGCAGTGTAAACAAAATTGGATGAAGGCATGGTTGGTTCTTATTTTGTAAAGGATCTTTCTCATTGAAAACTATCACAAAATTCCTTATTAGCCTGTTATTTTATAAGGATGAATCTATCTGAGACACCTTTGAGAAGACATATAGGATGAATTAATTGATTTATTGGACATGGCCAAATCAGTTGAAATCCGCGTGTAGATGATTTGATGTGGAGGTTGAATTAGTTTCAGTTAATACTTAATAGACATGCAGATTTGTAGAGAAAAATGTAACTGGTTGCTTGTGTGGTGAGAGGCTTGCATCTACATAGAACATAAAGTTTCTCCACTGTTGCGGAGGTGGGTGTGGGGATTAGGTTGGGTTAGAGCTGGTAGAGTTCTTGTTACTCTGTTGCTTAATTTTGAGGCTTGATATATAGGGATAAGTGTTCAATATAGAAGTCTTACAATTTGCCACCCCTGCCTAGGTGAACTAACTGTATATTAAATCTTTCAGGAAAGAATACAGCTTGAAACTTCTCGTTTATACAAACAGGCTGGGGTCAATCCTCTGGCAGGTACTGTTTCTAAAGTAATTCGTTTGTGGTGGAAACAAGTGAATTGGAATGTTTAAACTGTTTCTTTCTCTTAAATGGACTGTTACAGGATGTTTCCCTACATTGGCTACAATACCAGTCTGGATAGGCTTATATCAAGCTCTTTCAAATGTGGCAAATGAGGTACACCTGAAACTGGTTCAGCATAGGCATATTTACTTTGCCCGATTTATCATTCTCGGAGCTATGATGGCATTATTTTGTTTTTGTGTTCGTCTAAATTATTCATCAGGGACTGCTAACTGAAGGATTCTTTTGGATTCCTTCTCTGGGAGGGCCAACATCAATTGCTGCTCGGCAAAGTGGATCAGGAATCTCCTGGCTATTCCCATTTGTGGTAATTGAAATTAATTTAGTATTTTCTTCTTTGTTTGGCATTTTGTTTCTCACCCGTTTTCTGTCCTTGCTTATATTACCTGAAATCATATCGACCAGGAAGATAACTTCAGCTAATGATGTCAATTATTACTGCATTTATGGAATGTATGAATAAAATGTATATTGCATTGCCAATTTTGCAGGACGGGCATCCACCACTTGGTTGGTATGACACTGCTGCATACCTTGTTTTACCTGTTCTTCTTGTTGCATCGCAGTTCGTGTCAATGGAAATAATGAAGCCTCCACAAGTAAGTTTCCATGTAGTTTGATCCGTGTTTTCGTGCATTAATACCTTCTGGCCATGTGGCACTGATATCTTAATCCTGTTTTGGTAGACAGATGATCCAGCTCAGAAGAATACGATGATTATATTTAAGTTTCTCCCACTTATGATTGGCTACTTCTCTTTGTCTGTTCCATCCGGATTATCGATATACTGGTAAGTTTCATTATTTATTAATCCTATTTCATACACGGTGGCATGCATGTGATACTCATATGTAACGAGACTAATCTAATTTTTTTCTTCTTCTGTGGGAACATTTGTCATTCATAAATTGTTTTTCCTTTTTGTACCAATAAACTGTTTAGGCAATTGCCTTAATTAATTTATTGCACACTGGCTGCCGATCTTACTATATAACTTAATACAATCACTAACGAGTTCAATATTTTAGGTTTACAAATAATGTTCTTAGCACAGCACAGCAAGTATGGTTACGTAAAATGGGAGGTGCAACGCCTGCTGTGAGTGAGAATGCTGGTGGGATAATCAGCGCTGGACGTGCAAAACGATCAGGTTCTCAGTCGGAGCAATCGGGTGAAAGGTGGGCTTGAAATTTAAGATATATTTTTTTATAATTCTTCTGCTTTTCCAGAATGTTCTTCAGTGACTAGAATTACTTTTTTCTTAGCAGATTTAAACAGCTGAAAGATCAAGAAAAGAAGAAAAAGAATTTTGCACTGCCTGCAATTGATGTTCAGGCTTCACCTTCAGCCACAGCTGATCCCGAGCCTGAAAATGACTCAGACGATGAAAATGAATCGAAGGTAAACCTCCGCTTATCTTTTCATATGAAATGATTTTCTAATTGTTCTTTTTTTTTTTTTTTTTTAAATTTATTTAAGAGTGTATTTTGTTTCTTCGAGCAGGATAAGGAAGTTCTTGAAGAAGCATATGCTTCTAGCAGTACCAAACCAGTTCCTACAGTGCCTAGGAGAAGTAAGCGATCAAAGCGCAACCGTTCGGTATGACTCTAAATAAATTTTATAGTTACAGTGAACCTTCTGTATATTTGTTGAAAATTCGAAAAATTGATACATAGTGACCATTTTGTTGCCGGTCATTAGTATAAGTTACAGCTTTGATATCACGAACATTAATTTATTTGTTAGGTGTCAAGTACACCTAATTTGTGTAAATCAGAATTTCAGAAGTTACAAATATCATAGAGACATGGATATATTTTATTAGGACGAAACCGATAAGATCAAACAATTATCAAAGAGTATTTAGCACTGCTCTATATATATATATAGTAGTTGAGCTCATATTTGGAAAATAAGATCAATCGAATCATCTAACAGTTCAAACTAAAATACAAGTACTCTGATCGTAAGATCGATTTATTGTTTCTAACCTCCAACAACTAACAAGACATACTTAAGAGTTGTACAAGAAATTACTTCTGCATTTATTTTAATCAGGCCCTGGTTGGTGGACTACTATTTCCAACTGGGCTCGGTTCAGATGGTCTCTTACGAACGACCTTCTTCTCATTTGCCTCCCTCGTGTTTCTCTGTTCGTCGAACATGACACCGTTTTTATCCATTCCATTAAAATTTGAAAGAACATAGTAAATATATATATATATATATATATACACACACACACACACACACACACACACACACACACACACACACAATGTTCTTACAGGAATTATCTGATTGTTGTTTCTCGAGTTATATGCAGCAGTGCTGGTCTTGAAACTGACTGTTACAGATGATCAAAAGCTAGCAGTTTTGTTAAAACTGGGGTAAAGTAAATTACCAGAACCCCCCATAAGGTTAAATTACCAAAAAACCCCTCAGATGATCAGTTTCTTGAGATGGAGGTTTCGGAAAGTTACCTGATTTAGTTTCTTGAAAGGCGGAGCTAATAGCGCAGTGGTGTCGAAGTGAGAGACATACTAAGAGAAGATACAATAAAATCTGCACTCTTGTCATCTTTAAGGTTTGAGTGACTCTATAAAGATGAGAACTGAACAGAAAATATGTGGGCATTACATCTCTCTAAATACTAACTGATCAATTCTGCTAATTATAACCAACTTTGAAAAACCATAGGAATTTGTGTCTGAAAAATGGTGGGTGATTGGGGGATCCTATGCTGAGTTTGGATGGTGGGAGTGATAAATATGATGAATTTGAAATTGGTTCTGATTATGGGTTGACTTCTACGCCCTCATCATTAACCTGAGTTGAATTCTTCCCACTCATCATTGCATCAACTATGTGTTGTTTGGTTTTGCTTGGGGGGTTTTTCTACGGTACACTCGGTGAACTTCACCGATTATATTCTACTATACGCGTGTGTATTTGTATATATCCGTTTTACATGTATCCACATGCATAGGTGGTGCTGCTTAGATCGAGCGGGCCGTGCCCGTCAATTTTTATTAAGACTGTCAATTTCAAACCGTCGATGGTTTCGATCGTTCAAAAAACAAAGTTATTTGACTCAGGCAGGTCAAGCCGTCGAGTCAGAGTCGAACTGGCCGTTAGTCAACATTTTTTAAAATAAATCATTTTTTTTTATTGCACGGGTCGGCCGGTTCGACCCGTTGGTATTGGTATATGGGTCCGGGTCGGGTTGGTCAGTTGCCGAGACATTTACGGGCTGGGCTCCGACCTGTCCTGCGGGTACGTCTACCTTCACCCACAAATCATTACTCATAAAAAAGATAGTTATATTTGCTGTATGTAAAATAAAATCGAGCTGGTTACAGAACAAAGACAGGGCGTCGAGGCTGCAGTTGCAATCCAATCTCTAGCAAGCTTAGGCAAGAGAGTCTCGCATTTTCTTTACCTCAACGTCTCTTTCTTCATACGATACAAGAATATTAACGGAGAGAAATGCAAACTTAGTACTGATTATCGAATCGACCAACGAGCACTTGTCTCTCTTTCTTCAATACACTTTAATTCAGATTAGTACGGCCAAAGAAGGCTGTGATTTGTTGAAAATTGTTGCCTTCAATGTTCCGAAGCAAATATAGGAGGATCTCAGCAAAATCAATACGTGGTATCTGAGAAAGACAACAATAAGTCAACAACAAGAAGCTTATTACACATTGCTAACATCTATTATTAGTAATGAACAGAAGGTACGAGATAGATTAAGCTTACCCGATACTCAAAAGCATTAAGAGGCAAAAGCCCGTTCTAATCCAGCAACAAGTTGCTGAAATTGCTCGTGATAACTACACGGGTTCTTTCACTGAAGCAGTGATAAACCCATGTTCTTGCTTCCTCCGTACACATCATCTCCTACTAGCGGAATCCCAAGATACTAGTCCAAGCCCAAGAGTTAGGGAAATAAACTCCCTTGATGTGTCTGCTTCCCATTCATTCGAAGTTCAAATGAAATTCCAGAGTGCAATGGTGGAGGTTCTTTTATCCTAGAGAACTCAAATCACCAATAATCCCCACACGAGCAGTCACCATCTTTGAAGTGATGGTAGCGATTTGTGTCTCTGACGAAAATTTCTCTCCTCTCGAACCTGGAAATAAATTTAATTACAGCGTGGCAATCTCCGCAAATTCTTAGGTTCTTCGTGACTCTCAGAGGAGACCCTGGACTCATATTCAGAATACCGAAAACTACAGCCAACTTCTCACTGTGCCCACATAAGATGTGCTCCTTCTCCTGTTCCTCTACATCTTGTAGCACATAGTCGGTATTCGGCGAGTAACCTGCTTTCTTCATTTCAATGCTCAATCTATTTAACTTCTCCATAATTTGAGCCATTTGAGGAAGCGATTTATCTCCAGCCAAAAGCATATGTACTTTGTTTTTCACCTCAATCCAACTGCAGCCGGGATTCTTCCTCAGTCCCTTGTCTCCCATGATATCTCTGATTTTATCAACTTCTTTATATCTTCCTTTCGACGCATAAATATTAGACAGCAGAATGTAGTTTCCGGGATTCTTTGGTTCTAGTTCGAACAATTTACGAGCAGCAACCCCACCCAAGCTCATGTTATGGTGAACTCTACAGGAACTTAACAATGCACCCCAGACGCAAGCGTCAGGCTCAAACGGCATTTTCTCGATCATGGAATAAGCTTCTTCAAGCTTTCCTGCACGACCGAGCAGACTCACAACACAAGCATAATGCTCGACTCTAGGTTTAATACCATGATCCGTGGTCATTCTGTCAAAGTAACGATGCCCTTCTTCCGTAAGCCCACTTTGGCTACATGCAGATAAGAGACTAGTGAGACTAACAGAGTCGGGTTTCTGTCCACTCCTCTGCATCAAGAGAAAAAATTCAATAGCTTCCTTTGCTTTTCCATGCATCGCATATCCGCCCAACATTGCGTTCCAGCAAACCAAATTACGAACAGACATCCTGTCAAAACAGCATCGAGCTAATTGGATTTTTCCACAATTAGCGTACATATCTATCAGTGCACTGCCTACATAAACATCGCCAGAAATGCCCCTTCTAAGAGAGAAGCAGTGTGCAGCCTTTCCATGCATAAGCGCTGCAATATTTCCGCAAGCTGGAAGCAAGCAAGGGATGGTGACAGCGTTCGGTTTCACACCAGAAGCCTGCATTTCTCTAAAAAGCTCCAAAGCCTCGATATCTTTACCATGCTGTGAGCAACACGCGATAACCGAAGTCCATGAAACAACATTCAGTTCCATTTGTTGACCCTGAAGTTCTTTAAACACCCCCAGCGCCTTGTCAACAAGACCATGTCGAGCGAGTCCTGTAATTAGTGCATTGCAAGCCCCAACTTCCACCTGACCCATATCTTCAAGCACTTGTGACATCTCTAAGGCATATCCGCATTTTCCGTACATATCAATGAGTGCACTTACAATACACTTGTCAACAGCAAAACCGTTCTTGATCACATACCCATGAACTTGGGTGCCTGAACTTAAATACCCCAAGTCACCTATTGCAGGAAGAACACTAGAAATGCTAGTCCCATCTGATTTAAAACCATGTTTGTGCATCTGCTGAAACATCAAAACTGCATCGAGAAAACACCCACTTCGATTAAACCCTGCAATCATACCGTTCCAAGACACAGTATTCGGTTGAAACCCAAGATTTTTAACCTCGTTGAAAACTTTCCTCGCATTAACTGCATCCCCTTTCCTTGCATAACCAGCAGCCAATGCGCTCCAAGAAACAACATCTCTCTCAACCATATTATCAAACAGCTTGTGAGCGTCAACTAATTCATCACATTTCACATAAAAATGAACCAAAGAAGACTGAACAAAAGAATCCAAGGATATACCAGATGCCAAAGAAAACCCATGAACTTGCTTTCCGATTTTAACAGCCAGTAGTCCGGCACAAGCCTTGATCACACTCGGCAAAACATGTGCATCCGGGAAAAGCCCCTGTTTGAGCATTTGAGAAAATACACTGAGAATGTTCTCAAAATCGTTAAACTTGGAAGATGCATTAATAAGGGTAGTGAATGAGATAATATCGGGTTCGAACGAGAGAATGTTTTTGGCATCAGAAAAGCAGCGGTGGTTGGCATAGAGAGACAGTAGCTTGGTTCTGTAATAAGGAACTTGACAGAGACCTGTTCTGAGTAGTTGGGCATGGATCTGCCTTACTTGAGATGGTGGTGCAGTGGAACTTCTGCTTATTAGATGCTCTAGGTCTGGAATCCGAGACGAAATCGAAGAATCGACTCTCAATTTTCCGGGATCCAACGCCACCGTGTCTTCAATTTTGCGGCCGGAAAAATTGTCCGGCCGGCCGGTAAAAGGTTCCCGGAAGTCATCCAAGTCGGCATTCTCAGGCGGAGTGGGATTAGATGTGGTGAGGAGTCTCCATAATGCAGGGGTTCTAGGGTTTATGAGGAAGGGTTTAGCCGAAGAGAAATACAGAGATTGGAGTGATGACATTTATTTTCAGTGGTTTTTCTGAAAGACGTGATTTTTAATATGAAATTATGCTATTTACGGTTACAAAATTGCTATTTGCGGTTTATAACAAAACTTCCCAAAACTTTTAAAAATATCCAAAAACCTCCCAAAACTGCAAATAGCAAAAAAAAAAAATTCGAAAATTCGAAATCAAGCTTGAAGAAGAGTTGAGTTTCGATTTTTTGATGTAATTTCGACTCTTTAACGTGTAATATACATTGGGTAGTTCGATTATGGAACCAATTTCATGTTAAAAAGTCCTACAAATCGATTTGTTGGACTTTTTTTTTTTTTTGCAAAAACATGTTGGAACGCCCAAGGCGTGTACGAACGCCCGGGGCGCCCATCTTGGGCGTTCAATTAATTTTTTATATTTTTTTTTGCACTGGACGCCTAACTCCGTCGCTCAAATGCAGCTTGCACGCCCAACTTGGGCGTGCACTGCATGAATGGGTGCCCAAGTTGGGCTTTTACGCGTTTTGGGGGGTTTTTTGGATTTTTTTGGAAAATTTTGGGGTTTTAGAGAGATAAAATATTTTTTTGTTATAAACCGTAAATAGCAATTTTCAAACCGCAAATAACAATTCTATGCTCTGGTGATAACCCGGTTGAAAATCCAACCCGACCCGGAATCCGTTTCCGCACCCAAAAAACCCACTTATTTATCCGGGTCAGTGGGTTCTAAAGTCAAAAGTCAAAACCCGTTTCTGGTACAGCAGAGTATAAATTAGGAAGAAAGAAAATAAAAAAGAAAAGGAGAAAATGGTTTCCGATACGTGTAACTCGAATTCCGGCGACGGAGGGGCAGATGCCGATCTGCCGCGCACTTTCAAGTACTTGTTAGGTTTGTAAAATTCGCATCCGTCAATTAATTTTCATTCTCCGAAGTCGATTTTTTTTCTTTTTTTTTTTTTTTGCGTATAATGATTGAATATATATAGCTACGCAGTTTCTGTCAAGAGGAATCCCATTCATATTCAATTCCTGGATTGTCAGACACCTCTCCGAAGAAGATTACGCGGTAATCATATTTTTTAATACTTGTTATTTGCTTAGAATTTATTTTCTCTTTTTGGGGGATTTGGTGCGAACTTTACTTGTAAAAACGATGGAATTATGTGAGGAAAGGCAAGGCATTATTTTAGAAAAATGAATTTCAAATGAAGTAAGAGTCGGAGTTTTTTTGGGTGAATTCGAGTTGCAAAGACTCGATTGGGTACCCCAGTATAACACTGGCATTTTTTTATGATATTTTATAGACTTCGTATGTTTAAGTTTCTGGTTCTGAGTTCATATGTTTCTATGGCAGAAGTTTCTTGTTATTGATTATTATGTTCATCGTTTGTTCAAGAGAATTACGTATGTGTATAACTTGATAATACGACTTCGTCTTGTCATAATGCGGAACTGCTATCTGACTCACTGTATTTCTTGACACAATGCAGCTCTATGCTGTACAGTTCCATCTGTTCGTTACCTGTGTATTGTTTCTCAGTAGAGAGGGGTTTCGACGAGCGTGCATGAGGGCAGATATGAAATGGTACCTCTGAATGTTTTCCTTTTTGCTATTTTTGCCTCTCTCTCTCTCTCTCTCTCTCTCTCTCTCTCTCTCTCTCTCTCTCTCTCTACCATATATATATATATATATATATATATATATATATATATATATATATAGTCCATTCTCTTATAGTTTAGCCCTTGATTGCCTTCACTACTATTCATAACTTCAATTAAATCATGTGGTTTTGTGCTCTTAATCCACACATAATATCCATCATATGGATGACAATTAGCAGCTTTACTTCGATTTTATTTGTAAAGGGTTCTAAGGAGTTAATTGGTGTGCGTATCATCAATCGAAGTTTAGGTGGTTTCCTGTTGTAGTAAAGTTCGATATAAACTGATCTTATCACTGGTTAACATTTATCGCAGTTACATGTTCTTATTCCCTGAATCGTCTAAATACTCATGTCTCCCAATCAAATAATAATTTCCTGACGGATATATCGCAAACGCAAGCATATGCATGAAAGATTAGTCTTCAGTTTTCTGAATTTAATCTGGGAAAACGATGTACCTGTCTCTTGCAGTGATGGTGATTCGGGAACAGGAGTAAATGCAGCTAAACTTTTGAAAGTGGCCTGGATGACTTTTCCTTTAGGAATACTAGTTACACTTGCAGCATGTTTATTTGTCTTCTGGTGGCAAGGCCTATGTTATTCTAGTCCGTATGCACAAGCTATCTTGATTCATGGTGAGCTAATTACATACTCACATGCTTCGCAAATCTAATCATGTGGGTTGTTGGGGTTCGTCAAGAATAAGATTGAGGTAATTTAAAAAAAAAAACAGATGTATTGTTACTGTAGAAGTGAGGGGGTCATTTGTTCATTCATTCATCATGGGGAGTGGATTGGTGATATTAGGTTTAACTCCTCAATTTTTGAAATCGACGAATCATTTTTTAGATGCTGTTTTTTGGGTCAGTCACATCTTTCGACCAATTATTAGGCTTAGGGAATAGAACTGTTAATTAATATATAGTAAAAGTTCTGTTCCATCTTTTTTTTTCTCTGTAGTTAAGACTTTTGATATAATATGAATATGCAGGTTTTGCATGCGTACTTGAGCTACTGGCAGAACCGTTTTATATATTATCCCAGAACTTGGTTCTTCTCAGATTGCGATTGGTTGTTGAAACTGCAGCCACTCTTTTCCGCTGCATAATAACTTCCATCCTCATCCTGAAGCAACCAAGCCTGGTATATAGTAATGCTTGATGTTCATTTCCGAATTTAACGGCAGTATATAATTTTTCGGCACCAACTATTTAGTTACTTCAGATGTCATGTGTTCTTCTTCTTGATTCTACAAACATCTTCGTTGCTTCACTTGGTGTACTCTGACTGGCCCCTAGTCACCGTCTCTGTTTATAACAAATTATGGATTCTTTACGTCCTCTTGCTAGATATTTTATTCGTATGTGAAACGGTTTCCAAGTAGTTTAGCATCAACTAATGATTTAAGGTACTACTGTCTGAATTGCAGGAGAAAGCAATTGTATTTGCCCTGTCACAGGTTACATACGGAGCAACTATTTTCTTAGGTTACTGGGGCTACTTTCTTCTATTTCGTGTGTATAGAACTTCTGTTCTATTTCCATTCAGGTACTAATTAGCTCCTTCATTTTTTTAAGCTGCATAAATTTTCAACACATTTTCTAGATTTGCTGTATGTTCCTCTTTCCCGTTATTATTCATCCTAATATTTTGTCTCCATCTTTGTGTCAAAAACTAAGCTGTTATATAGTGATTTACTGGGAGAACTGTTGCATAGAAAGTAGTCAACAAATGTCCGACATTCTCTATTTCTCTTCTTTATGTATTTATTAGCTTGCGATTTATTTATCTGTTGGTGGACCATTTATTGTAATATCCCAACTGGGTAGTACTTAGTTATACAATATGAGCCAAACGTCTTTCAAAAGTAAAATATGCCAATTCTTTCGTTTTCGATGGAAAACTAAAAAAGTTGTTGCAGGGTCGGAAGTACAATGGATCATAACAGACCGCTTCTGAACATGTGTGTGATTTTTACTCTTCAATCGTTCCGGAAGTTGATTCTTCAAGAAGGTGAAAAGATGGTCCTTGTATGGTTAGATACACCATATAACCAAGCAGTTTATGGTCTCGTAGATAAACTTGGTAAGTCAATCATAATCCCTTGCCTTAGATCTAATTTTTGGTGAGATAGCATGCAGTTTTAAGATGGGTTAACCATGCAAGTCTAATTTTCAGGGAGCTTAGTGGTGAGGCTCGTTTTTCTTCCATTTGAAGAAAGTTCCTATGTTACATTTGCAAGGTCTGCATCAGGTTTATATCTCTCCTTTTACATGTTTTCTAAATATGGGAGGTTTATATTTTATTATTTTATAACACAATTTACCAAAGTTGGTACCTAGCCCTATCACTAGGGTCAAGGTGTAGGGTTCAAATCCCGCACCTCCCATATTCTCCTATTTGTAACAGGATTTGAATTTCAAAGGAAAATAAAATAAAATATTTTGAATTAGTATTTGCAAAGTATTGGAGATGCTGAAATATACGATGACATATAGGTAAGCAATTAGTCAAAAATTGCCCGAAAAGCTTTTGAAACCAACATGATTATTATAAAATATAAAGGAAACGATGAGCAATATTCGAAATCAATAAAATTAGGTTTCAACTTGTAGCTGTAGATACATTTTCCGGAATGTGTTTGGCAAGGGCGTATTTGACCTATTATAGATTTATATTGCATTTGCTTCTCACGAGTGAATTTTGATGTGCATGCAGGAGATCACAAGGACAAAAAGAAGATCCTGGGAAGGCGTCTGACAGATGCACTGAAGCTTGTTTTGCTAATAGGTATCTACTTTGTCACAGTTTCTGCTGAAAAAAATATTATAATGGTATTGCCACTTGCCAGCTTAATTTCTTGTTAAAAGTTGTATATTATAATTTACGATACTTATTGTGAAACTGCATCCCCTTGTAGCATGTTTAGCTAGAAGCTATTTAATTCGATATGGTGACTCATAAATGGTATATCTGAAATGATAACGTGAAGGAAAATGAAGTCCGTCTGTTAGAAGTTTTCACACAATAAATAATTTTTGAACTGACATAAATAATCACGTCTGTGTAGAAAAGTTAAATGACATATTTAGAGTCTTCCTGCTGCAAATACTAGTTCATTCACATAGTGTTTTAATAATTTTAATATTTCAAGTGTGTATCGTAATTCGTAATTCGATACATTCTTGCTAAAAATGTATGGTTTTATTCTCTTTCAGAACTTATGCTCGTTTCTTTGGTCAGGTTTAGTGGTTATCGCGTTTGGCCCAAGCTATTCGTATTCCCTCATCAGATTGCTGTATGGTAGGAAATGGAGTGACGGAGAAGCTTCGAAAGCACTCCAATGTTATTGCCTTTACGTGATAGTTTTGGCCATGAATGGTAAAACTTTACGCATATCACTCTGTTCGGTTATTTTTAAAATATAACTAATTCAAAATATTGAAATCATATTTAAGGTGTTCTTTTCTATGGAATTAAAGGGATTTTCTTTTCTTTATTTATCAGGTACATCCGAGGCATTTATGCATGCAGTTGCAACAGAGAATCAACTCAAACGGTCGAATGACTCGTTACTCGTCTTCTCATTGATTTACCTAGTCTTGAACGTCTTACTCATACGATCAGCAGGCGCAATTGGATTAATATTAGCAAATTCTTTGAGTATCCTTTTTTCGACTTCTCTTTCTTCGCGATTAAGTATTCCCATGCTCTTTTTCTGTTTCGTATTTCTGGTTTATATCTCGTGGCGTTTCATTGGTTCCTTGACTATGTGACAAAGACATGTTCTTCAGGATAGTCTATTCAGCAATTTTCATCAGAAAATATTTCAAGGTACGCCTATTTATCTTTTATGCAACTTCATATTTTTTTATGATTGTGAATATTTTTATTTATTTATATTTTGATGCAATTTTATGTCGTTTTCGCAGGATTCTTCGTCCTTTTCCTTTAGAGACTGCTTGCCGAAAGGAAGTGAACTTCTACTTATTTCAGGTGTAGCCACCTTTATTCTCGAGAGAATATATCTCGACCGAGAGAATTTCTGGTCAACTTTTACGATTCACCTCTCTTTTGGTTTGGCGTGTTTCAGTGTCGCGGCTTTTGTAATGTAAGTATTACTTATCGTAACGCAATTTTTTTTTTCTTTTCGGTGTTTTAATTCTAATTATTACATTTTTATCAACAGCTACAAGAAAGAGAAGCCTTTCATCAGTAAAATCATACGTTTTCGTGAACACGCTGATTGAAAGCTCCAATAAAATAGAACATACAAGGTTAGTTAGATGGGCAAAAATCATATTGATTCTTGTGTAACCTAAACCGATGATGACATTTTCATTTTTGCTCGAGTAGATTGTTACCGATGAACTTGTGTAAGAAAGTTTTGAAAATGATGCGAGCCCTTTAAATTTATCATTAATGTTGGTATAAAGTTTAACTTCACTCGTGTGTATACGAAGGCCAATATAATTTAATTATTTATTTGCATTTTGTATTATTCGATTGATCAACATTTACGTATTTTTAAAATAAGTAACCGAAACCGATACCGATCAAAGAAAAAAAAAACTAATATAACCTACAAATCACACGGTAAGAATTTCACCTTTATTCCCAATCACTTCGGAATCTAAACTAAATTACGGGTACCCAAGCTAAATAACTTACAAACCCCTATAGTATTAGTAAATTACAAATACCCCTTAAAACTAACAGCCCGTAGGAAACCTTAACGGAACTGTCTAAATTACCCTTTTATTAAACAAAAAAAAAATGATAAATCTATCGGTAAATTAACGGGTATCCCTAGGATAAGACAAAATATTACATTTAACCCTGGGGTAAATTTGGAAATTCATAACGAATATTCAATGGAATCTTCAAGATTTCGTTACTCACACGGGTACGGAGAAATAGCTCGGGGGTATTTGTAATGACCAATATCACGAAGGTTTCTAAGTTATTTAGTCTTACTTCACGGTAACCGTAATTTACCCCCAAAAAAATAAAATAAATTCCCAAACTAAAACTATCAACAGTTCAGGGATAAAAAAAAGACGAAGGTGCAAAGAGCATCGAGCTCGAGCCAAGTCAGAAATCAATATAATCTACGTATAACTTTCATTACTTATTAGTAAAAACCCTACTCAATCAGTACTTTAATCTCCCCCACTTAAATAAAACACCTCGTTTCAAGACAAACCAAATTCATTCGGCGGGCGAAGGCACACAGTAACCTCATGCTCCTCCGGCCCCACACGATGCTTAGGCACATTAATCTCAAGAACCGTTCCACTCTTATCAAAGTACGCTTCAAGTTTAGCATTATCGGGTATCCGAGTAGGCAACGGGATTTCTCTTTTAAACTCGCCAGGTGGACAGTGCTCAGGTGCTGGATCAGTAAGCTTAAAACTCCGTTCGCCTCTCTGAACAAACGGCATGCAAGCAGTACTCACAGACGAGATTTTCACCACACCGTGACTCAGATTATTCCACCAATGCACTTTCACCTTTTCCGGATCAGCAAAAGGCAAAGTTACGAGTATTAAATATCCTTCTTCATCTTCGTAAATAGTTTTAGCTGCAGTTACGGGTCCATATACATATTTCATCACACCACTAAACTCACTCAACCAATGCGGCTGCTCCACAGTGTGGAACTCTCCGTTAAGATCGTTAGGCAAGAAACAATCTTCGAATAAATCTTTCCTCTTCTTGTTAGGTAAGAGATCAATTCCATTGCCGTTTATTGCTTGGTTTAGTGGCTGAGTTGATAAATTCAAACCCGACCCGTTAAGAAGTTTCTTTGTGGGATTAGTGTGCGAGTTGTTATTCTTCAAACTTTCGAGTTCGAAGTCTGTATTTGGGAGATTTCTCCAAGAACTGAATTCTTTCGCCTCGGGTAAGATAGAGAAGCTGAGATCTCTACCGGTTAATTCGACCCACTTCTTCTTTTCTTCTTCGTCGAGGGCTATAAAATTAGGCGATGGAACGAGCTCAATACCATGTAAACACTGTGGATTAGAGAGTCCTCTGTACTGCTTCCTCTGCATTTTATGAGACCTGACGAAACCCTTGTCGGCACTAAATGGAAACGGACGCTGACCTGGACGAGCGTGACCGTTCATGTAACTCCTCAACTGCATTTTACCGAGTGCATTTTCGGGTCGATCCTTGAAAACCCACATGTACATGTTTTCCATATCGTGCTGCACTAAGAAGACGTCGAGTTGAAGATCGGATTTTTCGAAGCCCGACGAAACCCCGTTGACTATGTTCTTGCATTTCGATTTGTCTTTCAAAACGGGCTTGAAGTAGAAGCTGAAGAAGAACCAAGCACCCCATACACTATCCAATTTCTTGGCACACTTTCGACCCATCTTAGGCAAATCGAGAAGCTTATCCGAGTCGACGGCTTGGTATCCAAGACCAGCATCGAACATATCGAGCGAATCGTTGCTCCACAATTGAGGGGGAGGGCTTTGCTCTACTGAAAACGGCAGATTGATATCCGGTGGTCCGGAAAGAATATTCTGCCTATTCATATCTCGGTCCGATTCTTCGTGACAGGTGGCGATTGAATCCATTGACAAGAATGTTGATGGTGGGCAGTTTTCAAAACCTAAGCTTGTCAGAAAATCTTCCCCCATTTCTTAATTCTATCTATTCAATTGTGGGATTTTCTGAAAAAACCCCACCTTTTACAGAAGTTTAGCAAAAAAACCCTAAAAAGAACACCGCAACACTCATTCTTTGAGCAGAAAATCAATATGGTTCCTGATGAATTTTATCAATTCAGAAGTGGGGCAAATCGGGAAGAACAAATCTATCAACCCTAAAAACGAAAAATCAATAGATATATGTACAATCAACAAGGGTTTGCGCGATAATTAAAAAAAATAATTAACTTAAAAACCAATCAAAATTGGGGATCAGAAATTTACCTTGAGTATGTTAATCCACGTAAAGATCTTCGAATTCTCTGCAACAATCTACAACTGAGGAAGAGGGCGAAGGATTGAGATTAAACGTCGACGGTTTCCGTTAAAGAAGACGTCCGTGATAACGGTTTGAGGGGCGACGAAACGATGGATGTTCTTTCTTTGTGATAAGCGCGTGAATGGAACGGCCGAATGGGGCTGCCCCAAATGAAAAAGGTTAATTGCATTGGAGTACAATACAAGAAAATAAAATCTCATTTCAGTCCTCAAACTATATGTTATTCTAAAAAACATAGTTTTAATCCGAAAATAATTAACGTACACATTCGTTGATATCTTCTAATTTGATGAACTAATTTGTGAAATTCTTAGTGACTCAATAGTCTCAATAATTGGAGTATTTTGAGTTTGAGGGAGTCGAAATCATTAGTTGAACCAGAATTTCGAGTTTGAAGGAGCCGAATGCATTAAAACTTTTATTGCCGCAATGCTAATTATAAATGAATTTCTTAAATCTTTACATAAAAAATATAGATTCTAAATTGTTAGTGGGGCCATGGCCCCCTATGATCCTATTATGGTTCTGCCACTTGTTGGAATTAATTCTTGAAAAAATTCTTCATACCCTACTATTTATTTTTTACTAGCAATTAATTTAATCTTCGAGACACTTCTAACTTGCGATCAACCCGACCTTACAAGCCGAAATCTAAGTGAGACCACATCATTTAAGATACAAAAAATATAAAAGTAAATTCTAAGATTTTTGTTTAATTGTTTTTTTTAGCATAAAGTTGTTTATTTTCATTATTAGGACATTGTGTCAAAATCATACCAAAGCACATGATTTTTCTTTTCTTTTTGCTATATTACTATTAGTATTTGATGTATGTAACTTTCCCCAAATTGAAATTAAAAATATCTCCTTTATTTTTCTTTAAAAAATAATTGTATTTTGTATGTTTAGATTATATTAATGCATGATTTTTGCCAACCCATGTGAGATATCCAGTGAAGATGTGACCCCTCCAACAATTCTATATACATTCTAAAAAATAAAAAAAAAATAAAAAAACAATTCTATATAATTAGAGATGAAAATTGAAACGAAATATCCGATTTTTGATGATTTCGATTCGAATTTTTCCAATTTTGGAACAATATTTTTCAATCCGACCTTCGAAATTCTGACTTTCGATTTTTCCGAAATTAAAGTTCCGAAAATAATTCCAAAAATCCTAATTTTTCTTCCGAATATTACAATTTACCAATATTATTATGTATTTTATATTTAATGTGAGCAAAAATTAAAAAATTCCGAATTCCTCCGATTCCCATAAAAAAATTCCGAATTTGGCAAGTTTTTCGTTTCAATCTTCGATATTTCGATTCCGATTTTTTAGGGGACAAAATTGGTACTGTTTTTCACTTCCGAAAAATTCAAATTTTTTATCCAAAAGGCTAATTTCGATCCGATCAGTCCGATTTACGCCCCACATATACCCAATTTTGGTCTAATCCCATATAAATAAATATATATATATATATATATATATATATATATATATATATATATATATATATATATAATTTTGGGGGTTTATGATATAAAAAAATTGAAAGATAATAGAGACTTTCCATATTTCTTCCTGCACAATGGCATCTTCTTTCCAAAGTTAAAAAAGCTGAGTTCCCCCTTTTCATCTCCACCGAATACAAACGAATCTCACCGCCACACCCTCTCTTAAATAACCTCTCTTTTTAGAGAATGCATTCAATCTCCTATTAAAACCCTAATCTTGAAAATTCAATTTACAGGATTGGCAATAATCTTGATTTTTTCTGTTAATTTTTTTTTTGTTAATAAAAATTATCAATCTGGGCCATCATATTTTCGAGTTTCCAGTACAATTCGTGCCGATTCACCACCAATGTGAGAATAAAAATGGGATCTTTCAGCGGTTTAGTGATTGGTCTGAGTTTTGTCTTCGGCTGCATCTTGATGGGGCTTTTTCTCGAGCTTTACTACTTGCTATGGTGGAAGAAGAAAATGGCGGCGAATAATAGTAATAGTAATAGTAACAGCAGCAGAAGCACATCAGAAATCGAGGAGGGCTTCTCACTCTTCTTCTGTTGGAATTGGAAAAAACCCAATTCTTCTTCAAACCCTCAATTAGGTCAAGATCAAGATTTGGAGATGGGGCCCACGAAGGAATTAGGGTTATTAAAAAGCTATGGCGAAGAAGGGATCGAATCGGAGTTGATGAGAGTTCACAATCTCTCCGGCCCGCCGAGATTCCTCTTCACGATCAAAGAGGAAGATTTCGAATCGGATGCCGACGCGATATCAAGAAGCAGTAGGAAAGGGTCGAGAACTAAGAGCCTCGGCGATGTTTTCGGCGCTGACGTCACGCCGATGTCATCGCCGAGTTTTGCGGATTCTTACCGGAGTGGTATTAGTAATCATGGGTTTAATGATAATCCGTTGTTCGAGTCAATGTCGGAGGCGGAAGTCAACCGGTTGAGATCGTCTCCGCCTCCCAAGTTCAAGTTCTTGAAAGATGCTGAGGATAAGTTAATCAGGAGGTTGTTGGTTGAAGAAGCTATGAGGAAAAGTGGGTTCGATAACGGCGGATCGGTTCGAGATTCCGCCGTTAACGAACCTCCGAGCTCATGCATTGAAGAGAAAAGATGATTCTTTATTTTTTTTTGGGTGATGGATGATTCACTAACAGGTAAAAATGAAAAATCAAGAAAGTTTATGTATGTGCAGTAGATTCTCAATAAATTGGGAATCTAAATAGTTTACATTGTTTAGTATATTTTTTTTTTAAATTTTCTTATTCATCTTTCTTCTGTATGTTGATTGGATTCATTGGCTTTACAGATTAAATCTGGATTTTGAGGCCTATAGATTTTTTAGGGAATTGTAAAGCAACCCTCTTGCTGTTTCGATTTGCTAATAAAGTTCTTGTTTATTATTATTATTTGTAGCAATTTTTTTGTTATGATGTATTTTCCTTTTAGCACACAATCTATAAATGGTGAGTTTTTCGGGATAATATACTTCAAAAATCGAGCTGTAAGACGATTGTTGCTCTAGTAAAAAAATTACGATAATTTTTTAACAATTAGAGTAAACACATGTGTGCAGAATGCAAGAAACTCATATTTACAAGAAATGGTTAGCGTAAATTTATTCTAATGGCAAATTACGGCCAATCCCTTCAAGTAAAACCAAATTACAAATAACCATCATCTGTATTGGATAGTTACGATCACACTTTCAATTACGCATTGTTCATCATTACTTGTCAAATTTACCATTAAATAAGGGGGTTTTTCCATAAAAAAATATATAATTAAGGGAATAATTGTAATTATTCAAGTATAAAGGGTTTTCTCGTAATTTAACATTACCTCGGTCATAATTTACCCGTATTTCAATTTTCAATCCTCTGTTTTATAATTTATGGGCTTTTGAATTTCCTTTAATTTTATTGGTTGTTAAGGCAAATTGTCAAAATTAACATGATCAAGAAAATAAATTTATTCACCACCTATACTAAAATTAATAAAAAACAACCAATTAATGCCTGCCAAGTGTCATATATTAAGCAGTCAAGTCATAGTAATTTCGTAGTTTATTTAATATAAACTATAGTATTAAATAATAAATTAAATCAAAAGTCTTGATAAAAAAACCCAATTATATGACTCATACAAGGCGCGTTTGACAGCAAATAATCCTATTTAAAGAATTGTTGCAATAATTTATTTAGATTTAGAACTTCAAAAACGACATAGTTTTAATGGTGGAAAGGGAGTGAACAATGAATGAGTGCAAATATAGGGCCACTAACTTAATTAGCATCCATATTTATGAAGCAACAAGAAGACATCACCACATGCTTCTATTTTGTATTTTTTCGTTGTTGCCAATTTTCCCAATAATTGTTTTAATTTGTCACATCTTCTCAAATTTCAAATTTCTAAAAAAATATCACTTTCATAAATTAATAAGACTTTATGGCATGTCCAAAATCCTATATATATGCAAAGAGTGTAAAGATTTGTTTGTATAGATTGTTATACTGAAGTGTTAAATATTGTTTCAATTTTACTAATATTGTTTATTGACTTCGAACGTGATTTTGACAATTTTCTGGTCTGATTATGATAAAAACCGAAACATGGACGATGAAATCCTTTGATTAGCTATGTTGGATGCCGGATGACAAAATTATGTATGAATGAGTTACATTCTGAATTTTAGATAACTCAAAATATCAAAGTTGTGGGTGTTGTTCATTGATTCGTGCATATCTTTCTCACCTGACATCTAATCTTATTGATTCACGTTGTGTTAGAAATTTAACTAAAAAAACTACAAACTCTGTGTTTTGAGTTTTGCCAAATTTAAACTAAAAGAGGGTACAAAGCACGTTTGAAAACGAAACATTATTATTAAAACTGAAACGCCATTTATCACATCCCAGTATTAAGGTTATGATCATTTCGTCGCTCTACCTAGACTTCTAATTAATGAATTCAAATAATTATTTTCAAAATATATTCAAATTTTTGAAGGGATGAAACTTTAGGGGCATTTTTGGAAACTCAAGTTAAATGAAACTTTAGGGGTATTTTTGAAACGTGTTATAAGGTTAGGATCATTCTGTCGCTCTACCTAGACTTCTAATTAATGAATTCAAATAATTCTTTTCAAAATATATTCAAATTTTTTAAGGGATGAAACTTTAGGGGCATTTTTGGAAACTCAAGTTAAATGAAACTTTTAGGAGTATTTTTGAAACGTGTTATAAGGTTAGGATCATTCGGTCGCTTTACCTAGACTTGGAATTAATGAATTATTTTTTCAAAAAAAAAAAAGAATTAATGAATTCAAATAATTCTTTTCAAAATATATTCGAAATTTTGGAGGGACGAAACTTTTAGGGGTATTTTCGGAAACTCAATTTAAACGAAACGTTTAGGGGTATTTTTGGAACACAAATTTTGTAAGGGGTTTTCAAACGAATATGTTAGCCAACAACAGATTAAAAAACCAAATTAAATGAGCAGAACAACAATTGTCCAATTACTGTCTTCATCAAAGTCAACTGAAAAGTCAAACCTTTAGACCTCAAGAAAATTAAAAATAAAAATAAATAATAATTGACCAAGAAACCTAATTGACAATCATTCCGCGAATCTTTCTTCAGTTAGTCTCCGGCGAACAGGTAATTAGAAAAGGGTACGATGAAAAATTGGTCGGAGTAATCATTTTCCGTTGCCGGATAATCAAGAAATGGCAGCCCTTCTAACCCACACTCACCGCCCGGCTGAAGATTTGCCTTTTGGGTTCTCGCCGCCGCCGGATTTCCGGCACGATTCTGGCCGGGCGATGACGAGGGCTGAGACCGGCGGAGGCAAAGTCCACGTGGCAGTTGGGAAGTCGGTGGAGAAGACGGTGGCGTTGCTGACGTGGACATTCAGTATGTTTCCAGGGCAGGAAATCTGCTTGCTTCATGTTCATCGTCCTTGTCACCTCATTCCAACTCTATGTAAGTATATAACTGAATCTCTTATATATATATATATATATATATATATATATATATATATATATATATATTTGATGATTAATTATTTTAATTTTTTTTAAATTTTTAATTTATTTGTAATTCAGTAGGCAAATTGCCAGCTAGTGGAGCAAATCCAAAGATGGTGGCAGCATTTAGAAATGAGGAGAGAGAAGATACAATGAAGCTGTTATCTACTTACTTCATCACTTGCACCAAATCAAAGGTATATTTAATTTTGGATATCTTCGAAAATCGAGTTCTTTAAATACTGCGATTAGTGCCGAGTTAAGCGGTATTTCCCAGTGTGTTTTTGGCCTTAATAGAGTCATTTTCGTTGAATCGTACGGCTTAATTTTGTTATCTGAACGAGGCTGATTTCGATCGTATGTAGGTCAAAGCCAGCGTTATTACAATCGAAGCCGATGATGTTCAAAGAGGAATCTTGAACTTAGTGAATCGACATGGTGTTAGAAAACTTGTTGTTGGAGCTATCCCGGAGTACGTTTCGTTTTTTTCTTTTTGATATTTTATATCGAATAGTTTGTGCTTTAATAATTTGACGTAGTTTCATGAAAGGGAAAAAGAGTTCATGCAAGGCCTGCCTCGTTGCAAAAATCGCTCCGTCTTACTGTGAAATGTGGTTCGTCAACAATGGGAAGCTGATCTGGACAAGACAAGCTTCCGACGTGTTGAACGTTCATCCGCTGAGCTGTCAATTAGCTGCAGGCTCTTCAAATTCTTGCCGAAATCAGGTTATTTTTTTCGTTGCAAATGTTTTCTTAATGAATCTGCTAAGAAATTTACGCTTACACGGGACGAAAAACTAGGTACAGGCAGAGGCATTTCCGACCGACGTAAATTTAGCCACCACTTTCTCAGAATGTGTCGAAGCTACATTTGAACTACTGAATAACCAAATTGCAAAAACGGCAGAAGTAAAAGGGAAAGTCGATGAATGGAAAAACGAAGCATTTAATAAGGTGATGATTAGTCTCTATACTTCATTTATTTCAGCTCCATCTTATAATAAGGTGATCTCTCGTGTAGGTTAAAGCATTGGAAACAGCTCATGCTCGTGAATTGAAACTGCGAATAGAAGCTGAAAACGCACTTTGGAACACGATTAACGAACAAGAAAAGATCATCAAAGAAAGGGAAGGAATAACTGACAAGCTACAAAAGACCAGAGAGAGTAACTCTCTCCTGGAGAGGCGCACACAGGAAGCAAACCGTAGATGCGAAGAAGTTTCCAGAGAATTGAAGCTTATTCAGTCTTCTATTGCAGAGTTAAGGAAGGAGAAGCAGAAACTTAAGGGGGAAAAGATGGAAGCTACGAGATTGCTTGATTGTGGGCCCGTTGGAGATATTTACGAATTTCGCGAGTTCTCATTGTCGGATATTGAGGGTGCTACGTGCAATTTCTCCGAGAGTTTCAAGATCGGAAAGGGTGGGTGTGGAATTGTTTACAAGGGGGAAATGTTCGACAAGACCGTTGCTATAAAGAAGCTGCATTCGTACGATGTGCAAAGGCAAATGGAGTTCCACAAAGTGGTAATCTCTCTCTCTCTCTCTCTCTCTCTCTCTCTCTCTCTCATACACACACACAGACACACACACTCTCTCACACACACACACACACACACACACTCTCTCTCATACACACACACTCACACACACACACACACACACACACACACACACACACACACACACACACACACACACACACACACTATTTAAGTTTGGCTTTGTAATCCAACTTGAATCAACTAGATTGAATGTCGACTTTAAATGTGATTTTAATCATCTTACAGTCCTAGTCTGAGAAAACTTCAAGCATCAAAGTTGTAGCCCTTTGAATTGGGTTTCTAACCCAACTCGAATCAACTAAATCGGTGGTTGGACGAGAAAGTTATGCATAATCTTGGATTAGTAAAACTAAAACGGACATTTAGCATTTGAGTTATACATGCGCTCTTTGTGATTTTCTAACCACCCTCTGACCTTTTCTAACATGAAGGTGCAAGTACTAGGAAAACTACGCCACCCTAATCTCGTGGAATTAATCGGAGTATGTCAAGAATCATTATTACTCATTTACGATTACATGCCATGTGGCAGCCTCCATAACCACCTCTCCAGCAGAAATGACGTTAACGCCCTCAGCTGGAAAACGAGAACCCGAATTGTGGCCAACATAGCAAGCGGCCTTCTGTTCTTACATTCTTTCGGGCCTAAAAAGATTGTACACGGAAACTTAAAACCCGAAAATATCCTTCTCGATTCTCAAAACAGGTGTCGAATAAGTGACTATGTGGATCATATGCTTATAGACACAAGCCAAACCTTGCGCTGCCCTAGTTTTCGCCATTTATCTGGTGGAGCTTGCTTGTACGCAGATCCGGAATCTTCTAGAACCGGAGAAGTGAACCAAAAGTCCGATATTTATTCGTTTGGGGTAATAATTCTGCAGCTTGTCACGGGAAGGAGTGATGGAGGATTAGTTGGTTATGTGCGAAGGGTATTCTCGAGCAGTGACGTGGCGGATATATTAGATTCATCTGCTGGTGATTGGTCGGTTTACGTGGGCCGTAGATTAGTGGAGCTGGGATTGCAGTGCTGTGAATCCAACGGTCGAGATAGGCCTGAGATTACGCCATCTCTTGTTAAGGAGCTTCAATGTATGCCTTTCTTGGAAGAGCAAACAGTCCCGTCTTTTTTCTTGTGCCCGATTCTTCGTGTAAGTAGCATCTTGAAAATACAATTTAAAAAAAATGATTTTTTTATACTTATTTTAATTTCTTTTTTGATAATTCAGGAAATAATGCACGATCCACAGGTGGCGGCAGACGGGTTCACGTACGAGGGAGAGGCCATGCGTGGGTGGCTGGGAAACGGACATGTAAATTCTCCGATGACGAATTTGACGCTAAGTCACTTTGACTTAACTCCCAATCATTCATTGAGGCTAGCTATTAAAGATTGGCTTGCGAATCTTGAAATCGACTCATTTGATTTTAGCATGTAAATATTGTAGACGATTTCGAGTGTATATATATATAATATAGCAGCTTAATACATATGTAGTCTGAACAAGAATGATTTGATCTGTAATAAAATGAAATAGCCGTTTCTATATGATCTCATTTCATGGAGCTCAAATCATACAACTCAATAATTACCACCAACACATGACTTCATACACTATTGGGTCACACTTTCTGTTCAATGCCATGGGCGTCTTTATCACGGACTCGTTTTTCTGCCCAGCCAATAGGGGCTTTGAATCGCAGATTCCTTCGTTTAATTCATCTTGGGCGAAGTTTTGTTTTGAATTTTCTAAACTAGTGTTCGAACTTTTAATACTTAATTTCTTCTCTGTTTTTGGATTGGTAGGAATAATAACGGGCTTCTCTGCTTTCGTTTCGATCACAATAGTTTCATTTTGATTTTTGTGATGAGTCAACTCTGAGTTGCATTCTTGCGGTATTTCTTGCTCTGGTGATGACTTGACGCCGGAGCTACCGAATCCTTGCATCTCTCTTTCTTGTTTGAGAAGAGGGCCTTTTTCAAGAAGATTTAAAACCCTTTCAGATTTCTTCCTCACATTCAGACCCCAATTATATCTGGAAAAAAATAGACAGCAAGGAATTACAATATATTAATTAATTAATGGAATATATATAAAATATAATTATGATAATAAATTAAATACCCTTTGTCATCAGTATGCTGGAAGTTTTTCATTTCTGTGATAACATCAATGTCACATTGAAACTCGTCTGCAATTCTTTCGGGGCCATGAGTCAACAAGTGTTCTACCACTATCAGAGCTTTATACGACGCCCTCCAATTTCCCAGGACGAAGCTTACCAGTCTACAACATTTTATTAGAAAACAAAAAGGATCCAATCAACATAGTCAAAAAAAAAAAAAAAATCAAGAATCACCGAAAAATCGAATCCGAATTAGACCTTTTGTGCAGGATATCCACAATTCTGTAATAATCGTCCCCTTCAAAAGATGCTTTCGATATTGTCTTCAGGTTATGGGCGTCGGGCCCGCCCGGTTTCCCGTTTGTAGCTTCTTCAGTCAATCTTCAAAAGATAAACAAAAGAACAATGATATATAGTGTGTGTGTGTGTGTGTGTGTGTGTGTGTGAGAGAGAGAGAGAGAGAGAGAGACTCACAGTTGTGCACGTGTGACATCAGTCAAGGCCAATCGTGCACTTTTGATTTTCTCCTTAAGGAACGAAGAAGCCTGTTTTTTGAACTCTGAGTTGCATTCTTGTAGTATTTCTTGCTCCGATGATGTCTCGAAGCACAAGTTGCCGAATCCTTGAATCTCTCTTGTGATTTTTCTGGCTTCGTCTCTTTCTTGTTTGAGAAGAGTCTCTTTTTCAAGAATATCCAATACCCTTCTAGATTTCTTATTCACATTCAGACCCCAATTATATCTGAACAAAATAGAAAACAAGAATTACTATATTATGAATATCGATTTCCGAAGAATATAATATGATCCAATAGTAGTACCCTTTGTCATCAATATGCTGGAAACTTTCCATTTTTGTGATAACATCAATGTCGCACTGAAACTCCTCGGCAACTCTTTCAGGGCCATGAGTCAACAAATGTTCAAGCACTATCAGAGCTTTATACGATGCCCTCCAATTTCCCAGGGTGAAACTCACTAATCTGCGGCATTATTAGAAAAAAAAAAAAAAAAAAAAAAAAAAAAAAAAAAAAAAGAGGATCCAAATCAACATATTGAAAAAAAAAAATCAAGAATCATGGAAAAATTGAATTCCAATTAGACCTTTTGTGCAGGATATCCACAATTCTATAATAATCATCCACTTCGAAAGCTGCGCTCGTTATCGTCTTCAGGTTATGGGCGTCGGGCCCACCCGGACTCCCGTTTGTAGCTTCTTCAGTCAATCTTCAAAAGATAAACAAAAGAACAATGATATATTATGAGAGAGAATGAGAGAAAAGGGGGGGGGGGGGGGGTGATCGCTCAGTTGCATTCACTACCTCTCTTATCCCATTCCTCTTTATTTCCCCCATTATTAAAAAAAGAAGTAAATGTTAATGCTACACACAAACTTCATCACCATCTTTAAACAGAACAGATTTAAGGGGAGAAATAAGAAAAAAAAGATGCATTCGACTTTAAATGAGATTATCAATGGTGAGCACCGAGAGATTTTATACCTCTCTCATCTTTACGAATCATTATTTTAATACATAGAGGTCTCCTTTGAAAAAAATGAGTTTCAATGACATTAATTAGTATAACATGGTTTCTTGATTTTGCAGGGATAGAGGTTGGCGGCGGCGGACTAGGAGATGGTGCTGTCAATGGAGGAGCGAAGATGATGGAGGGGAGGAAATTGAGAAGTTTTTTTAAATTTGTTTAGTGTGTACTTATTTTAGCGGTGGCGAATGAAGAAACTATTGTTTGCCATCTCCTTGTTGTTATGCAATCAATTTGCAGCATACCAAACAAGAAGATAGAGAGAGATCAGAGAGTGACATACAGTTGTGCAGGTGTGACATCAGTCAAGGCCAATCTTGCAGTTTTAATCGTCTCCTTGATGAAGAACGAAGCTTGTTTTTTGAAATTTGTATTGCATTCTTGCAGTATTTCTTGCTCTGATGATGATGTCTCGAGGCAGAAGTTGTCGGATCCTTGAATCCCTCTTGTGACTTTTCTGGCTTTGTCTCTTTCTTGTTTGAGAAAAGGCCCTTTTTCAAGAAGATTCAATACCCTTTCAGATTTCTTCCTCACACTCAAACCCCAATTATATCTAAAAAATAGACAACAAGAATTACTATATTATTAATATAGATGTCCGAAAAATTATAATATGATCCAATAGTACCCTTTGTCGTCAATATGCTGGAAGCGTTCCATTTCTTTGATAACATCAATGTCACGTTGAAACTCGTCTGCAACACTTTCAGGGCCATGAGTCAACAAGTGTTCAAGCACTATCACAGCTTTATACGACGCCCTCCAATTTTCCAGAACAAATCTCACTAATCTGCAACATTTTATTTAGAAAACAAAACGGACACAATTCAACATAATGAAAAAACAGTCAAGAATCATGGAAAAATCTAATCCTAATTAGACCTTTTGTGAATGATCTCCACAATTCTATAGTAACCGTCCACTTCGAAAGCTGCCCTTGATATCGTGTTCAGTTTATGGGCGTCAGGCTCGCCAGGATTCCCGTTTGTAGCTTCTTCAGTCAATCTTCAAAAGATAAACGAAAGAACAATGATATATAATAAGGATATATTATGTGTGGTGTGTGTGTGTGTGTGTGTGTGTGAGAGAGAGAGAGAGAGAGAGAGAGAGAGAGAGAGAGAGAGAGAGAGAGAGAGAGAGAGAGAGAGAGAGAGAGTGACACACAATTGTGCAGGTGTGACATCAGTCAAGGCCAATCTTGCAGTTTTGATCTTCTCTTTGAGGAAGAATGAAGCCTGTTTTTTGAACTCTGAGTCGCATTCTTGCAGTATTTCTTTGTCTGATGGTGTCTCGAGGCAGAAGCTACCGAATCCTTGAATCGCTCTTATAATTTTGCTGGCTTTGTCTTTTTCTTGTTTGAGACAAGGCCCTTTTTCAAGAAGATCCAGTACCCTTCCAGATTTGTTCCTCACATTCAGACCCCAATTGTATCTGAAAAAAAATAGGTAACAAGAATTACTATATTATTAATATGGATGTCCGAAAATAATAATATGATCCAATAGTACCCTTTGTCATCAATATACTGGAAGCTTTCCATTTCTCTGATAACATCAACGTCACATTGAAACTCGTCTGCAACTCTTTTAGGGCCATGAGTCAACAAGTGTTCAAGCACTATCAGAGCTTTATACGATGCCCTCCAATTTCCCAAGACGAATCTCACTAATCTGCAACATTTTATTCAGAAAACAAAAATGACCCAATTCAACGTAATGAAAAAAAAATCAAGAATCATGGAAAAATCTAATCCTAATTAGACCTTTTGTGAAGGATCTCCACAATTCTATAATAATCGTCCACTTCGAAAGCTGCCGTTAATATCGTGTTCAGGTTATCGGCGTCGGGCTCTTCCGGATTCCCGTTTGTAGCTTCTTCAGTCAATCTTCAAAAGATAAACAAAAGATCGACACACAGTTAACAATGATACATTATGAGAGAGAAGGAGGGTGAGAGAGAGAGATAGAGGGGGAGAGAGAGTGACACACAGTTGTGCAGGTGTGACATCAGTCAAGACCAATCTTGTAGTTTTGATCTTCTCCTTGAGGAAGAAAGAAGCCTGTTTCTTGAATTCGTGGAAAATAGGTCCATTAAAACTGCCATTGTTACCGCCTGTGATCGACATTTTTTCTCGACAAAGATCCTAAACCAAAAAACGCAGAAACTAATTATTAAAACAGAAGCACAAAACAACATATGATCATTTTGAATACTAAATCTCATGCAAGAGAGTGGAACTTACCTAATCAGCATAATGAACTCTGTAATAGCAATTCTGTTTGATGCAACTACTGTGATATGAAGAGAAGCCAAAGAAGTAGGGGCAGTTGCCACTTGGCAACAATAGGAGGAAGATTGGTTTTTGAACAAGACTTTTATTTTTATTAAATTAACTAAAAATAGATTAGGTTTTATATATTTTGAAAACTTCTCCTCTTTCTTGGGGTGGATTTTTTATGCGGGTTTATTGCAAATTGTTAAAAAAAGTTCCCAATATTTATTTTAATGCTCAAAGTCCTTTTTGATTCATATGTTTAGCAAACGACCCCTGAAAACTTTCTATTCATGGGTTGTGTACTAAAAAAAATGTGTAATAAGGAGATTTTTGCAAATAAAATAACACGAGTATCTTTGTTACACACGGTACTAATTGCAGTAAACTTCTTTTAATGCATGCTAGGAGTTTTATTATATAAAAAAAGTTAATTTTGTTTATTTTAATTTTCAACGTCAACTGATTTTTTTGGGGCAAATTGCACGTCACCCCCTAAAAAGTTCTAAATACACTTTACCCCCTCAAAATTTTAAAAAGTGAACGCCCCCTTCAAAATGTTACTCTTGTTGCACATTGCCACAATAGCAAAATTACGATGCATTATTCATCGGAATCGGGTGTTTTGATTGCATGTTGCCCCTTCATATGCATCATTATTAAAAATATTATTTTTCTGCACGTTGCCTCTTTAAAGTGTCATTTTTGTTGCACGAAGCCCACCAAAAATTGGTTTTTGGGGCAAAGTGCAACCAAAATAATATTTCGAAGGAGGTTATCCATTTTCTGAATTTTTCGGGGGGAAAGTGCGAAAATAAAAAAAATTACAAGGGGTGAAGTGCATTTTGTCATTTTTCTATGGTGGGGTTAGGACTAGTTAATACCTAAAGGCTAAAGCTAGACCTATCTGGGAGATTTACAGAGAATGTAAAGCATTCACTCACCATGTACAATTTTGCACATGCGCCCCTCAGCTTTTTCAGTTTTTCACCAAAATCTAATTCCTGGAAAACAAAAACAAAAGTACTGCAATTAAACTTTATTACACTCAAAATTGTACAGCAGAAAATCCGTCACACTATATTACATTACAGCAAGTTCTTTACAAACCAACAAGAATGCAGATTCTTTCCTTCTTTACCTCATGATGAATTGAATCCTCAAGTAGAAAAACGGAAGTTCGATTTTTCCCGTGTTAATTTGTTTTTCGATCACATTAATTCTTTCGAAATGCTGAGAAGCAATCGGAATATCGAATTGTTATAGCAATAAATAGCACAATACTATACACCACCAACACGGAAGTATTCTCAATACCGAAGACCGGATTTCCAGCCCGAGAGGGGGTGGACCGGGAGAATATTCCGGCGAGAGGGAAATTTCCGGCGGCTGGGCACTATTAACCAATGTTCCACTACCTTCACTAGGCTTACTCACCTCGGCCGGATTCTTGCCGAAAAACTCCCTTGGGAGCAACACCTTCGATACCCCGAAAATCGCTACCGGGTTCTGATCCAAAACCGTTTGGGTAACCGAAGCTTGGACTATACCCGTGTCGATCCCAACCGACCCGTTTACGCGAGAAATGTTTACGGTAAATCGACCCGCCCCGTTTTGCTCGGTGGCTAATGTAGGGTAAATCGGGTTCACAATCGCCTCCAGCGAACCCAACGGGTAGTAGGAATGGAGGACGTGGAATCTCAACACGATCGCCTTTCTATCGGCCGGCAGTGACTGAAATTTGACGGAAGAAGGTAGATCGGCGAAGGCTTTATCTGTGGGGACGAAGAGGGTTATCCCGGCGCCGCCTTCGTCGTTTTCGAACTCCGAAACCACCCCCGAGGCGGCGAGCATCGCCGCCGCGACGTTGAAATTGTGGCCGTCGATTAGGGCTTTGGTGATGTTGAGCCCCGGCGGAGGCGGCCGTGTTTCGGAAGCCATGAGATCGAGATTGTAGGGTATCAGCAGCGAATTTAACGACAGAATTGATACGTTGATGGGTAGGGTTTCGACGGGGGACAGCAGCGTGGCGTTGGCGGCGGGGGAGTGGAAGGTGACGGCTGAGGAGGAGGGGTCGAAGGTGATGTTGACGGAGCCGGAATTGGCGGCGGCGTTGCGGCCGGTGGCTTGGAAGAGGGTGGAGACGATTTTTCCGGTGGGAGGGATGCGGCGGAGGTCGGACAGGGAGAGGTACTCGAGGAGGACGTGGTAGCGGAGGACGTCGGCGAGTACGGCGGGGGAGGGGCGGTTCACGGCGGAGGAAGTGCGGAGATAGGCGTTGGGGACGGCGAGGATGGTAATGGAGGAGCGGCCGGAGAGATCGGCGGCGACGGCGGTGGTGGTGAGGAGGGAGGTGAAGTCGGAGAAATTAGGGTGAGAGGATAGGAGATCGGCAATGTTGAGAGAGGAGGAAATGGGGAGAAGTATGGAGGAGAAGAAGAGTAAATAGAGGAATGTGAGAGGGGTAAAATTGGAAATGGAGATTGGGATCGCCATTTCTGTGTTCAGTGTGGTGTAGTGAGCTGGAAGTGAAGAAAAAGAGTGAGTGACTGAATTTGACGAAGAAGGGGGGTGGGGGTGGGGGTATAATTTATTTTTTTAATTTTCGTTTGAGTAATTTAAAGGGTAAATACCGTTTTCCCTCGTATTTTAACTCTTGCGATTGCATCGATTTGTTCTGCTGTACTTGAAAAATTGTCTCAATGTGGCCCTCGCAGTTAGTTGTCAGAATTTAACCTTAACACGGTTTGATCTAAGCTCTGAAATTACAAAAATTCGACATCTCCCAGTTTAAATAATTATAAACAAAAAACAAAAAAACAAAATAATAAAAAATTCAAAACACCGAGAAAACATAGTCCACGACATCAGTCACAATTTATTTTTATATTTTTAATAATTATTTAAACTGAGAGGAATAATTCTTTTTGTAATTTTCAAACTTAGATCATACAGTGTTTATATAGTTAAAGATCTGAAAACTAACGGTGATGACCACATTGAAACAAATTTTTAAGTATTAGAGACAAATCGATGCAATCGAGAGTAGAAGGGGGTAAAGTGATATCGAGTCAAAGTACAAGAGAAAGTGAAATTTACCTTAAATTAAATAAAAGCGTAAGCACGACATATACAAAAGTCAGCTACACGTGCGCAAATAATTCAAATTGTTGGGCTTTTGGTAAAATATTATAAGTTGCTCTTATGGTGAGGCCCAGTACAAATATGGGTCTCGGGCTCTAAAGTTTAAAAAAAAAGTTTAGCATATTGTTTTTTCTCTAATTGCATTCAACACCTCTGTATTTTCTCTAATTGCTAAAAAGAGTTTCATGTTATTTTTATTAGCAAAATAAAACCCTTTTAGTATTCAATTGTCATGTTCTAGACGCAAGAAATATGAATAAAGAAAGTAGTCAAATATAAACTTTGAAATGGTAAAAGGGTTTACGAGACTACAAGTTGAAAAGTTAGACTAAGAAAAAAGATATCAACTTTAACCAATCAACTTGTAAAAGGAATGATAATAATAAATACAAATGAAACACTAAGATTAAGAACAAATATATATCGTCTTAATTACCAATATACCATCACCTATGTTATTGCATCTTTCTATAACATATTCAATAAATTTGGTCCAATTTGGTATTTTATATGCATATATTGCAATAATGTGTATATGTCATCCAATTAATTAATTCATCAATCTTGTAACATCAACATAGCGTGTAGCATCAATATACTATTAGCCTCTTAAATCATGGGAAGTTGTATAAATTATCAATTTATATATAAAAAAAAAAGGAATTGGAAATAAGCCTACACTTTCTTATAATAAGACGTAAATCACACTAGGCTAACAATGTGTGACAAATTCGACTTAACAACCGTTGGTAAAAGAATTCGAATCCGAGTCAATTAACAAATAATCACTTGCTCCAAACGCTAGGTCGTCCCTTGCGGGACCCCAAAGTTGTTTCGTTTCCTTATCTTCTTTGTTTCAAACCAACTATATATATAATAGGAAAAATTACAATCACCCCCTGAGCTATGGTCAATTTAAGAAAAAATCTCTCTTGTTTGGATAATTACATATACTCCTCAACTATGATATTTTTCTACACCTCCACCTTTATGGTGTCAAATTCAACATAATTATCTAGATTTTGTGGAATGTACTCTAGTTTGTACTCATTTTGTATAAAAATACTGATGCACCACAATCTGATATATACAAGTCAAAAAATATACATTATGATCATCTTGCTTCAAAATGTAGAGGTTCAACGGGTACAAAAGTGATAATATTCCATATAATCTCAAAGATTTCACTAAATTTGAAACCGCAATGATGGACGCGTAAGAAAATTTATAGTTGAGAGGTGGTTATAATTACCCAAACATGAAGGGATTTTCGTAATTTAACCATACCTCATGGGTGGTTGTAATTTACCCTATATAATAAATACACATAAAAATATATATCATGACTGTTTCAGGATAATCTATGTCACACACCCTAATCTAATTTATTTAAAAATTAAAGAAATTAAAATCCCATGAGTTTGAACACAGTTTACCTAACAAAATAAAGTATGTTCTTTTAGGGGGCATGAGATCAACATAAACCAAAGGGCAGTTGGTTTCAGTTGTGACTTCTTCCCTTCAATAAATAAAAATAAAATAATAAATAAAAAAATAAAATATCTTCCATATGTTAGCAACTACTAGTGGGTAATCTAATTTAATCTTCAAGAGAAATTGATTTTTTGATTTTATTTTTTAAATGACAATGACATAGAGTATGAACAGGGGTTGACCGGGCAATTGGCTTAGCTGACCGGTTTATTTTCCGCAGTCTTTGGTTTTCGTATACGTTATAGCTAAAGCAAGATGCATTAATTAATACCACAATAGTATATATATATATATATATATATTTCACTGCCCACCAGTAGGGCTGTGCATGGATCGGTTTTAACCATCAACCAACCCATTTTCGACCCACAATTTATGATGGTTAATTAACCATCAACCGACCCATTTAAGTTGGGTCGATAATGTCAACCAACCCATGTATAGTTGGGTCGATAATGGTTTCTAATATGCTAAAAAGTTGGTTAGTCGGTTAATATCGGCCAACCAACTTTATTCATTAATTTATTATTTATTAATTTTAATTAAAATATTTTATATTTTTAATTTCAAATTTCTATTTTATATCACATTTATTAAATTGTTTAATATTGACCAAAATTGTAAAAACAATATATCTAACATAATTATCTAATTTGAACTATTTTAATTTTAAGACATATAGTCTAAATATTTGGACGATTATTATTTGTTGAACTATTTATATTTAATTGCAATATATATACCCGTAATGTTTTTAATCTTTATTTGAATATTATTGAACGAGTCGCATTTAATTTATAAAAGATATAGCGTTGTAACAAATAATAAAATATTAAAAAAAAATTAAAAAATATTTAGATGGATAACCCATCAACCAAACCACCAACCAACCCATTAAATTGGTTTTCAACCATCACCCAACCCATGTAAATTGGGTCGATAACGGTTTCCAATATTTATGAAAGTTGGTTGGATGGGTTGGGTTGGTTTTATGGCTGGTTTTTAACCAAACCAACCAACGCACAACCCTACCCACCAGGCCGCCATACTTGATAAATTCTCTGTTTTTTTTCTTCTTTTGACACACCACAGAGGCGGCCATAAGGTAAGAACAACCTGTTCTTCTTTGTTTTATGTAATTTCGGAATTGGATTTTTTAATTTATTTATTTATTTTGTGAGTGATTAAATAGGTTGATTTATTTGATTCTGTAGCATATAGTCTTGACAGATTTTTGATAATCTGGTTGCCTTTGCTTGTAATAAAATTTGAAATAATATATGCTAATTAATAACAAAAATATCCCTCATCTTCCCTAAGTTTTTTTTTTTTTGTAATTTAATTTAATTTTTTGAAGAATTTAGAAAATGGGAAAGCATTTCTGGATGAAGCATTTGGACAGCCAATCACAGGACAAGCAGCCAGGTTGCATGTCTGGATTGGTCCACGTGTTGGACTACCATCTATGGCACTCTAACGTTCGAAAGATGATCCGACACCGTAAATACGATGAAACGCACAATCGTAAGTATTGTAAGCAAACCAATTACATAGTTGATCACTACTTTTTCGATGAGCTTCTTTAATTTATTTACATAGTTTCGTAAATTCGTTGGTTTTGCAGGCGACGCAGAACAACTCTTGGAAGAAATCGAGACCCCGTATCTCGTAAGTTCGTTACGCATCGTGTTTTTTTTTTTTGTTTCCTAACTCGATGAAAATTATGATAAGTAATTGAAATTCATTATTCGGTTGATCAGAGGGGTAAAAGACCCCGTGCGAATAAGAAACGGTCGCTCAAATCACGCTTAAAGAGATTTATCACCGACGAAGATAGCCAAGGCGTCGCTTTCAAGTCAAAGAATTTGGAGAGGACTTATTCCATACATCATTTAGAATCTCTCGATAAATTACGCAGCGATTGGAAGCATCCGATTATTTTCTTTCCAAGAAACGTGGAGAATCGAGACGAAGAGATTCAGACAAAGGCTGCTGCTTCCGAAGAAGGAACCGAAGATGTGGTGGAGATATTCAAGGTGGACAAGGAGTTGCTTATAAAACATCTAGAACATTCCGATAAAGCCGTGATTAACTTCTCTCGTAGTGCGTTGGGGTTGAATACGGAAGAATCGAAAAAGTTTGGCAAATCGAGATCTTTTCCGGTGGCTGAATTGTCTCGAGGGATAAAGATGCTTAAGCCCGTTACACTCGAAAGTAAACAGACAGAAGTTTGGTCTACTCGAGCTCCGTTGTTAAACGGCGTTTTAGGTGAAAAGGAAATTACGATCGAACCCAAAAATGCAATGGGTGAAAAGCTCGACGAAAATGTTCGAAAGAATTCTCACTACCGAAGTTCTTCTTTGAACGAGTCGTTGGATAAATATGCTCGGCTTTTTGAGAATAGTTTTCCGGCGGATGCGAAGTTGAATGCCTCGAAGAGCTTGAGATTGACAAGTGAATATGTGCATGCTCCGGTTTATTTCCAAAGAATACGCTCCGCGTCACTAGTCGATTCCTATTATTCGAATTCAAATTTCGATGTGTTTGGTGAAGATTCCTTGGGAAACGATTCGGTTGTAACCGTAAAAGATAGCGAAAATCTCAGCTGCTTGCAAGAAACAGAGTGTCATGCAGCACAATTTCCGATTTGTGAAGGTATTTTTCACGCTCCAAAGTCGAATTATTTCATATTATATATGTAGGTGGCATTAATTGAGATTATTCCCGATTTTCAATTTAGTCGTATCAGGTTCGGAGAACGAGTCGATTATTCAGACAAGACAACCTCTCGAGAAAGAAGAAATATCATCGGACATCAAGAAGAAGAACAATAGTCCCGACTCGTATTACGCGAGGCAACTTCTCGATATATCAGGCATCGAAATGGACCCCACCGAGATGACGTGGCACGCGTCGGACCAGCCATTGGGCCCACAATTATTCGAGCAAGTGGAAACTCGGTGGCCCCACGAACAAGAAGAGTTGAACGGACTGCCGGATTTTAACGGATGTTGGCACCATAAGATGGTTTTTGATTTAGTTAATGAGGTCTTGATCGAGTTGTACGACGTGTCGCTCCCCTACTGCCCTAAAGCCTTGTCGTCGAGTTGCTATGTCCGTCCGTTCCCGTTAGGAGATCGCGTCGTCGATGATGTCATCAAGACCGTTGGATCGTTTCTGAACTTGAAGCCCGATGAAATGGAGTCGTACGATTTAATCGTGGGCCGTGATTTTGGCCGTGATCGGATGTGGATGAATCTCCAGGTGGAAACTGAGTGTGTGGCACTCGACATCGAAGACATGATTTTCGATGAAATGCTTGATGATGTCATATTTTCTTGATTGAGGGGCTTTTTCGTAAATTTTTGTTCGAAAATTCTTTGTACATATATATCATAGATTTCATTTTGTGTATGGTTTGGTGGAGAGAATGTTGTAAGATATGTAGATAGCTTGTAATATTGATGAGGAGCTTCTCTTATTGTGTAGTGATTTTTTAATTAAATTTTATGTAAATTTTGATTTCTGCCGATTCCGATTGACAACAATTCGATTCGGAATAAAATTATTCATTCTAAATTCCTAAAATTTCGATTCCGATATTTTGCAAATTTTTTTGGATCGAAATTGGAGTCTATATATATGAGATTCCAATTTTCGATAAGATTTTAATTTTTAAAATATATTTCTGTAAATTCTGTTTTTTTTTCCCCGAAAATTACAATATTATTATATATTTTATATGTTAGCCAACTAAAAAGCCAAAATTTTCAAAATCTCGATTTCGATACGCAAAATTCCGATTTAAGGAGTTTTTTGATTCCAATTTCTGATTTCTTTGGAACTGGATTTCAATTAGATTTTAACCTCCCGGGGATAAAAATGATTTTTTTTTTCTTATGAAATTTGTAATTCCGATCCGATATGTTCGATTTTCCACTCCTAAATGTGTGTAAAACATTAAAATGTGCAGCTGCATAAAGTAACAAGTACATATATATATTTTCACACAAAGTGTTACATACACTCCAACAGTAGTCCTTTACGGATACACCCAAGCCCCCGAAAAACCGTAACCATCGACACCATGAAAAAAGAAAAGCTTAACGAAATACTGAAAACGATATTAGCCACAAATTCAGCACCTGAATCTGCTAATATTTGTCTTATTCGACTACAATATATTTTCATATCACACACGCGGTTACTATTTTTTCGGAGGGCCTTAACCATAGTTAATTCTTCAGCAGTTGCATGGATCGCAAGTGCAGCTCGATCCGCACTTGCACCCGTTGCCTCCTTCAGCACCAAAGCTTTTCTCCGATCCCTCAGCGTACCTATAAATATTATAAATTAAATAAAAATTTGTTTCATTTCCTTAACCGCAATTAAAAAATATATAAATAGTCCAACGTATTTTTTTTAAATTAATCGTATATATATATTATACGTACATCTTCGAAGGTGCAACTCCTACAATCATGGTAACAGTTGTGTTCATCTCCATATCGGGATACATCGAGCAGCTTCAAAACAACATCAAAAATAAAAATACAAATAGTAGAATTATTATTTTTTTTTACATTTCCTTCGATAAAATTAAATTTATACGAGAAAATAAATAAATAATAAAATTACCTGCAGTTGTCACCGCACTTGCAGCCGGAACCACATGAACAACCAGAAGACATTTTTTCTTGAGAATATTTTTAGGAGAATACTAAGAAATAGTTTGTAATTGATTTCGATTTATTGCACCAAATGTTTTCGTTATACAAATATAGAGTAATTGTTGGCTTCTATTTATAATGTTTTCGACAACAAAAAGTTTACGTGCGTATCCACCCGGAATACTTTTCGTAATCGACAAGAAGATAATTTTATTACACAAACTAAATATATATATATATATATATATATATATATATAAATGCTTCACTAGAAGAAACGAATGATGCTTGTAAAAATGCTATAAAAATTTGTATGTCAACTTCAGACACGCAAGCCATTCATTTTTTTTAAAATATTTATGTGTAGTTTTCAACTACTTGTATTTGTAGAAAATAAAAATAATAATAATTATAATAATAATTATAATAATAATTATAGTAATAATAATAAATAAATAAATAATTGAGAGGGAGAGGCATGAAGCATGCTGGTGAACATAGATAATCTGGATCCAATTATTTTGATGTTCTATTATATTGTGAGTTATTTTCTATGCATAATAATTTAAATTATCCTTGCAACCAAACATTATTTGAAATTAGCAAGACAATGACTTTGAAAGTGATGTGCTGATGATTATCAATCTAATCATTTAATTAATTGATATGAATTGTTAATTAATTCAAATTTTTAATACTAAATATTTGATGAGTTTGTATTTAATTATCCTTGTTTCTTGTGGCAATTGATAACATCCAAGCTTTGTACTAAGTTGTGTTTATAGTATTTTTATATTGGAAAATTTGATTTGGTATTCGCCTTAGTTGAATTGGTATGTCAAATAGTTGCATTGCTGACGTGTCCGAAAACGATGCACATTAGTTGAATTGGTATGTCAAATATTTGGATTGGTTTTGGGATTTATTTTCATTTTATTTCGAAAAAAATATGTTTTTAGGGAATAATTGGAAAATGAAAGTAATGTTTGTTTATAATTTGAGATGGGACAAAATACGTTGCAGCGGTCAAATCATGTTCGAAGAAGAATTTAAAAAAATAAAGTGATATTTATATGTGTTTCAATTAAGACAATTTATACTGCAACAGTCAAATATTTTTACTGTAACAATCAAATTATGTCCGAAGAAAAGAGAAAGTTTCGAATTTTTTTTATCGAAAACCTTAGCAAACACGAATTCGTTTCGAGAAACGAAAACAAAACCAAACATTGCCCATGTCAACTGCAGCAGCAAACTTCATGCCTTCTCCCTTCAATTATTTTCGAAAACGACACGAAAAATTGCTGACGTGTCCGAAAACGATGCACAAATTTTATAGATTTTAATTCAGAATCAACTTCTTCTGGTGAACCATTCATTTAATTTTGACTCTTCAAATAATTGTCTTGTCCAAAGGAAAAATTATTTAATTTATTAAAACTAATCCAAAAAAAAAAAATCATAAAAGAATGGTGAATATACACGCATTCTTTAATATCCACAACCTTATATAAATAGGAGCCAATAAGTAGTCTGTAATAACATAAACATTTGAGCTGCAATAAATCAAAATCAATTATTACAAACTATTTCTTAATATTCTCCTAAACAAAAATTCTCAAGAAAAAATGTCTTCTGGATGTTCATGTGGTTCCGGCTGCAAGTGTGGAGACAACTGCAGGTAAGTTATAAACGTCCCAATTAATCAATCTTCGATTCTAATTTCGATTCCGTAAAACAATAATTTTATCGATTGTTATTAATTCTAATACGATACTATTTTTGTTACGCAGTTGTTCGATGTATCCCGATATGGAGACGAACACCACCGTCACCATGATCGAAGGGGTTGCGCCTCTGAAGATGTACGTGCACGTGCAATATATTATATATCATATCATATTACGATCACAATGAATTTATTTCAAGATTAATTAATTAAATGATCGAAACAATTTTTTGTTTTTTAAATCGTGTTTAGGTACTCTGAGGGATCGGAGAAGAGCTTCGGTGCTGAAGGAGGCAACGGATGCAAGTGCGGATCGAACTGCAAGTGCGATCCGTGCAACTGCTGAAGAACTAACCATGGTTAAGGCCCTCGGAAAACACGGTGCATGTGTGTGATGAAAATATTGTAGTAAAATGTAATAAAACAGCCATTTTTAGCAGATTCAGATGTTTGTTGAATTTGTTTATTTGGCTATCTGTTTAAGTGATTGTAAACTGTGTTTATTGTGTCAATGATTATGGTTCCGGGGTTATTTTAGTAATATCTTCCAAGCATAAATAAATAAATATATATATATATATATATATATATATATATATATATATATATATATATATATATATATATATATATTATAAGAAATCGTATACCAAACAAGATTTTAACGAGGTCCTTCGATATTAAACAAGATACATATTTTTTATTTTTTTGTGTGTTTCAGCTATAAATTAGAAGTTTGTACTGCACCTAAGTTTGATTATGGGTTTTATAGAAATCAGAGTTTCTGCAAATTTTATATTTAATTCCAATTCCGGTATAAAAGAAACGAAATTAGAAAAATTGGATATCGAAATTTCGAGAATCTGATTGAAAAACATTGTTCCATATATCGCAAATTTTTAAATTGGAATCGGCGAAATCGGAATTTCATTCCAATTTCCAACCCTAGTGTTGGAATATGGTTTTGACAACCCGTTGCCACGAATAATTCGTCCGTTGACTACGAACTGGTTCGATCCGAGTCTGACCCTTCATAATTTAGTATAAAATAATGAAGTGCTTAAAAAAATTTAGCTAAAATTGAAATTAAAATTAAGACAATAATATGGTTAAATTTTGTTGAAAACAAACAAACAAAAAAAAAATAATAAAAAAATAAATAAACTGATAAAAAGAAATTCACTTCATTTTAGAATTCGTACCAACCGAAGTATGAGAGTCATCGCCTTTGTGCTTCGAGAACAGAACATCTTTGGAGCAATACGTCGAACACTTGGCATCACTTCTTTTTCCGCCCAAAATCTCCGCCCTGCTATCAGTTTTTGCACGCGAACGCCATTAACAGCTGATGAATTTCCATCAGAAACTTCATCGGAATCCGAAAAGGAATCAAAAGAAGGAGAAGAAGCAAAGAGTTTAAGCTGGAGAATTGAGAAATTACAGAGAGGTGAGTCCGTCGCCTCCGCCTTCCAGAGCTGGATGGGTGATGGCTTACCCGTCCACAGAGGCGATATCTTCCATTCTATCAACCGTTTGCGCAGGCTCAAATCCACCAAACGCGCCCTCGAGGTCAGATATCACTCCTATGCATACAACGTGTTTGATGAAATGCTTCACAGCAATAGTATAATCAAAAGAACTGTTTTTTTAATCTCTCTTTCCATCTCAAACATTGAATTCTTATTGTTTAAATCCGATCAGGTTTGTGGGATAGTCTTTAGAAATTTAGAATTTCATCAGATACTAATGTTTTTTTTTTTTGTGTGTGTGTGTGTGTGTGTGTGTGTGTGTGTGTGTGTGAATTTAAAGATTTTTTTGTGAATTTTATTTTATCAGGTGATGGAATGGGTGATAAGGGAGAGACCTTACATGCCAAAAGAACTAGATTACTCCTACTTACTCGAGTTCACGATGAAGTTTCATGGGATCCCACAAGGCGAGTCACTCTTCTCTCGGATCCCAGTCGAGTTCAAAAACGAGCTTCTGTACAACAATCTTGTGCTCGGTTGCTTAGAAAAGGGATTAATAAGACTTTCATTGGCATACATGAAGAAAATGAGAGAATTACGATACCCAATATCGTACTTAGCCTTCAACCGCCTCATTATACTCCATTCCTCCCCCAGTCGTAAAAAGTCAATTCCGAAAATCTTAACTCAGATGAGAGCTGATAAAGTAGTTCCGCACGTATCCACGTATAACATCCTACTCAAGTTGGAATCCAACGAACACAGTATCGAAGGTCTGATAAAAGTTTTTGCTGATATGAAACGAGTCATGGTCGAACCGAACGAGATATCTTACTGCATATTGGCTGTTGCGCACGCTGTGGCGAGGTTGTACACTGCGTGCGAGTCTTACATCGAGTGTATCAAAAAGTCAATGACGGGTGACAACTGGTCAACGCTGGACATTCTTGTAATATTGTACGGGTGTTTGAGGAAGCATAAGGAGCTAGAAAGCACATGGGCCGTGATTCAAGAACTACCTTACGTTAGAGGTAAGAGTTTCGTGCTGGCAATTGAAGCCTTTGGTAAAATTGGAAACTACAGTCGAGCAGAAGAGCTGTTTCTTGAAATGTCATCGAAAAGGGGAATTAAAGCAACCGAGCAGTTCAATTCAATGATAGGGGTGTATTGCAATAACGGGTTGCTCACTAAAGCCACCGGGCTGTATAAAGAGATGGAGAAAAATGGCTGCAAACCGAACGCGATTACGTTTCGCCACCTGGCGCTTGGTTGTCTGAAAGCAGGGTTGGTGAAGGAAGCTATCAAAACCCTCGAATTAGGGCTTGGATTTCCGGTGAGCGAAAAAATTAGGAAATCAACACCTTGGTTAGAAACTACGCTCTCGATAATGGAGGGTTTCGCGGAAAATGGTGATGTGGAAAATGTGGAGAAATTGTTTCGAGAACTGAAGAAGGCAAAGTATAGTAGGTACACTTTTGTGTACAATTCGTATATTAAGGTTTATGTCAAGGCCAAGGTTTACGAGCCTAATCTTCTTACGAGGATGATTTTGGGAGGGTGTAGACCTGATTCCGAGACCTACAGCCTAATCAAACTCATAGAACAGTTCCGATTAGGGTAATTATTTCAGCCTACGATTAGAGATATGTTCGAATTATTACCGGAATATTTATTTGTATCGATATTACAATTTTGAAATGTAGAAATAGAGTTTTGATACGAGGGTGTCGTTTCTTCTATTTTTAATTCTATTTATCTATGTTTTGACTCGAAATAATGTGATATTATCTTGTTTGGAACGAAAAAATGAACCGCAGTAAATTTTGCTCTTAGTGAAACGACCGTTTCCGTTTTGAAGCAAAAACCTGCTCAAATGAATTCGACACGCCCGAAAGAGTGCGAAATTTTCTTATTACTCCAAAATAGCACATTGTATGCAAAAATAATACACGCAATGCTCGTTGGCCAGATTTAAATAAAATTAAAGCATATATAATATCATTTTATTTTATTTTTATTCGACGAGTGGTTGTTTCAGGTGAGATAGTTCAGGAACTCAGAAGCAGTAGCAATAGCACCTCCGGCAATGGCATCCATTACAATCTTGTCTCTGTTTCTGTTACAAGCTGCCGATACAACCGCTCCGGTTAATGCGCCTCCAATCATTGCATTCTTCTGCAAAAACACGAGCCGAGTTAACTCACTTTTTTTTTAAATGGCCTTATAATACAACCTACTATCGAACGAAAAGGGAATAGGACCCTTGACTCGGATACCACCCGGGCAATGCCCTTGTGGTGAGTTGAGTTAACTCACACATGTGAATAAAATCGCAATTCAAGAATGGCAATAATTATTTATTAGTGATACAAATGGAAACTAATTTTTTTTTGTATGTATATGTGTATATATATATTTGGAAATTACCCAGTCTCTGGTTCCGCGGACTCTTTCTACTCCGTACTCAAATCCAACATAAACTCCAGCTACTGTGCCTGCAAACGGTACAAAAGTTCGGATTTTCATATACGTGAAAGTTTCCGGTTACTCGCAAATGTCTCGTAAAAAATGCATTCACTCACCCCAATATGCGCCTTCTTTACACATTTTCTTGAGCTGCAAATAGCATAAATTCGTTATATTCATCGCCAATTATTTGAAGTGGCTATCGTTTATTAACAAGTTAACGTACATACACAACAAAATTAGCAACTAGATTTGTCTTTACGCCCTTGGTAAAAAAAAAAATAGACCATCACCAATAATAGATACAATCGAAACTCGGGACAATAGTGCAGATACATACATACATACACCAACTAGATTGCGGTATCTTGTATATTTAATGTACTAAAAAAGGAATCCTTTTTTTCTTTTTGGAATTTCATTACCATTTATTGCCTTCACAAAAATAATCAACCTCTTAAGAAGCAACGAAGCATTAAAGTAAGATTTATCTAATCCTTACATGTGTGGACAATAACAACAAGATTTACCCGACACGGAAAAAAGCCAACTTATATTACGACTAGTGTTTATAGAAGAAAAAAAAAAACTATTTGTCGTGAACTTATCGTCATCTTAGTAAACGGAAATAATAAACGAGATAAAGCACTCACCGATTTCTCAAAGTTGTTGCTCGAAATACTCCCTGCAATTATAAACCAATGTCAAGAAATTAGAAAATCAAATTCTAGTTTAAACAGTTTCGACAGACCGAAATAATCGCACGGCAAGTGTGGTCATTGCACTTTGCCACGCGTAGAACTACAGATCCAAACTAAACTTACTTACTAATTTCAAGAAACATTAAAAACTAATAACCCCAAAACAAGAAGCTGAGAATGTCGGTAAATTAGATGCTTTTACGCTGAGTGGACTTGAAACGTATTTGAACCGTAGATCTCCACATAATCACACACACCCATGTGTATGTGTGCTTAGGCCTTAGTGGGTAAATATTTAATCAAATCTACGGTTCAAATCCAAACAGTGTAAATAACTAGGTAGTGTAAATAACTAGGTGCAGCATCTAACTCTCCCCATGAATGCGAGCATGGAAAAACATGAGAAAGGAAAGTGAACCTCGTTTAACAACACCGTATACTTCTTCTGCAACTACTTTTCCAGCAGCAACCTGACAAACATTAAATAAACAAATTGCATTTTAGTACATGTGTTATATCAAATTGCTAAAACAAACCCTGCTTTTTTTTTTTAAAATATTAAATAAACCCCACTATCAACAAAAACAGATCACAATCAAAATAACCCATACAATTAAAACACACCCAAAAAAAATAAAAAATAAAAAAATAACACACACACAGAGAGAGAGAGAGAGAGAGAGAGAGAGAGATGGGTGTTTATTTCTTACAGTGCCGATCTTCAAGAAACCATCAAGAGTGGCATTCAGAAAAGGGTTGCCCATATCAACAATCAAATCCACTCTCGGCGAAGAAAACCCACCGACCAATGTACTGCGAGGCATCCTCGGATTCTTGATTATCACTCTCTCTCTAAAACTTGCAAATATTTTTATTTCTCACTCAAAGGAAGAAGATCTACAAAAGCAGAAAACCCAGTATGGAGAGTGTATTTGCCGTTGTCCGTATTTAATAATTTCACTTTGGCATTTTGTTTACGTTTCGTTTTCTTACTTTATGTTTTTCCTATCGACAAGAAGCTCGTGCCTCGTGGCACACTGAGAAAGAAACACTAGGCTACACAATTAGTGGGACTTCTTGGTTTGTTTGTGACGGTTAAAAGTGGAATTATTCAATATCTATTTTATTACCATCATTTTTTACTCCTTACATCCCAAGATATTTTCTATATTTTAACGTGGTGTAGGAGTGAAACTCGGATGAATCGAATCAGAAACAAACTTTTCGAACAAAGATCTATAATTTTTTTAATCAAATAACACTTTGGGTTGCAATTCCGAAATTATCAAACGCAAACGTAATGTTTTCGGAAATTTCAGAAATATGGAAAAAAATCGAAAATTTCATAATTTTTTGAAAAAAACTAAAATTTGAACTATTTCCGAAAATACAATTATGATAGTGAAATGTGTTAATTTGATTATTCTTTCTTGAGGGTTTTGAGCATTTCTGAGTTAATAAATAATAATTGATATTTCGTGATAATATCTTGTTCCACTTGGGAACCATTTCATTTCTTTTTTTCTTTTTTCTTTAGTGTTTGGAAAATATTTGGATTCATTACCAAAACTGATTGCAACAATGGGAAAATGCCTCCATTAAAATACAAAAATATGTTAAATATATTTCAATTTCATACTATTTCTCTTCTTTAATAGTACTTTCAGTCTATCTAATATAAATATAAACATATCCTCTCAATCTACTAATGCAACGGTGGTGCAAAATACAAATAAATATCAAACAATCTTCCTAAGATACCTCAACATCCAAAAAAATATAAAAATTGATTCCTAAAAGCTTTCCAACCGCAATATTTAACACAGTAAAGCTATAACTGAGTTAAATAAACCAGCGAGTAAAGGGTTGTCGATTGGGAAAAGGGCACTTCGAAATCAAACGATTGTAAAAAATCGAATGAAATGCCGATGGAAACATGGAACATTTGCAGGCAAATTAGCTCTTGGCTATTCTCTTCTATAGTTTATACAACCATATCATAATGTTATATATAAAATTGAAAAAATGAAGCTCGAGAAGACGATCATCTTCTAATTACATATATACAAAAAACGTAAAAATAAATTACTCTCGTTCCGAAAGAAACGGAAGATATGTACGCAGATTCGATGAATATCAAAGAACAAGATGTAAGTAATACATATATGAAGGGGTATGGAAATATTCAAAGCAACATAATATAATAAGATAGAAGGTTGAAATTTTGAATAAAAAATCTAGAAAACCCGATTTATTTCATGATGCAATAAATCGCTCACTTCGATAGTCATAATATAGATAGTATTCGACAAATAGATCAGAGTTCTTACAACCAGAAGAACAAGATGAAAAGCAATCGAACAAAGACAGGAAACCACAACGCAGATTTTCGTCAGGATAATTTGTTTCCAAACAGATTCAAGAAGATTTCACATAGACAGAAAAACTTAAACAGCACACACAATTCAGAGCAGCCATGGAAAACGAAGGACATTTTTCACCTACCGCAAAAGCTAGTCCTCTCTACGGCGATGATGTTTTTTACGGCTGTTCCTCTCGGACCGTTTCTTGTCCCTTCCCACTCGAGGACCGTCGGAGCCGCTGCCATCGGAACCGGAGGCCGAGCGTTGCCTCCTGCTCCTCCGCTTGTGACGCCGCCTGTTAGCAGAATCGTCCGACGAATCATCATCTGAGTGGCGGTGGCTCCTCCTCCGCCTCTTCTCCTTCCTACTCTTGCTCCTCCGCCGCCCGCTTTCTTCATCCGACGAATCGTCCTCGTCCCTTCTCCTCCCTTTCTCTCTCCTCCTCTTTCTTCTTCCTTCATCCTCGGATTCACTTTTCTCTCTCTTCGTCGCACTCCTCTTCTTCTTCGACCTCAACTTCTCCCTCTTTCTACGATCCCCCTCGTCCGACGACTCATCGCTATCATTCACTTTGGTACTCTTACCACTAACCCTTTTCCCCATTTTCTTCTTTATTGCCCTCTCCATCTCCGAATCGTAGTCGGAATCGGAGCTTTCGCTCTCGGAATCACTACTCTCATCGCTCTCCACCAGGCCCTTCTCTTTCGATTTCACTCTCTCCCCTTTCATCTTCTCCAAACCAGAAAAAACCCCAGCTTGGGGTTCCCTCCCTTCCTCTTCCTTGGCGCTCAGAAAATTCCTGCACTGAAACGTCAAATGGCCGACACGCCCGCACTTCTTGCAGCAGCCACGCGCCTCGTCGGCGTTGGATCCGGTGACGCGCGCGAGTGCTAGCAAACCCTGGAAACTGGCGTACGCGTTTTCAGACGCGTCGGGCTCGGACTCGGGGACGGAGCTCTTCTGGGAAGATCTGTCCTTTTTATCTTCCTTGTTCGGCGCGTACGGATCGTAACCGATTGCGCTCTGCCATATGCCGTGGGTCTGTAGGGCGGCGCTGCTGTGCACACGGTTGTTCGCTGGCATGCGAACCCTCCCCGCGGTGGCCGGCATGATGATTAACTAGCGAATACGCCTGTGTGGAATTAGAAAATAAGGAACCTTGAGGAATTGAAACTCGAATTTAGGGTTTGAACCTCACAAATATGAAAATGGAGATGAAAATTCACCGAAATTAGGATTCTTGATAGCGGATTTAGGTCAACCGGATTTAAAAACGGATAATTTGAAAGAGAATTGAATTCAATCTTGGATGAATTCAAAGAAAATAGAGAAAGCCCCAAATCTCTGAAACTTCCGCTTCTGCAAAATTCGATCGAAGGTGATGATGAATGCTTCAGAGAAATGGACGATGATTGATGAGAGAGAATTTATTTTAGTACTCGGGAATTTAAAGAAAAATAGAACAATACGACGCCGTTTTACATAGTTTGTTTGTATGTGTACATAACACATATAATCGGACCTTTGCACAGTAAAACTAAATAAAATTACTAAAACAACCCAAATTATTTTAAAGGCCCATTGGGCCTACATAAAATATTTATACATCAGTAAAAATTATTTCGTTCCTTAATATTTGAACCCATAAAAGATAAAGGACTAAAATCGCAATTATTTAGATAAATATTATTATTTTATTAATGATAGAGAAGAAAGAGGAATCTAATTGTATAATTCTCCATATCTCTACTTCTAAGTCTTCTGCTCAGTTTGGAATTCTTTGTTTTTTTTTTATTTACTAATATATTTATTAATATAATAGATAACCCTCCTCTTGGATTGTGGTTCAAATTAATTCAAGGGCAAATCAAATTAATTTAATTTAGTTTCCATCAAATTTGATCAAGAAAACGCCTTATGGTTGATCATGTCCTTTGATTTAGTTGTAATCGTGATCGTGATTATCACCGGAGCACTAGTTTTCGTATTTGAATTGCATATAGCGTGGAAGAATAGAGTGCTACTCGGAACGGATGGCGATGTGGAGTTGCCGGAAATAGCACGACGACCACCACCGGTGCAGGCGGCGACGGGGCGGCTCACTGTCGGCGATGAAGTAGTTTTCGACACTTTTAATCAAGAAAGAGCGGAGGAAGAGGGCGGCGGATGTGCAATATGTTTGGTGGAATATAAAGACAGCGAAACCCTAGCGACGATCACCGTTTGCAAACATAGGTATCATGTATTTTGTATTAGGGCATGGTTGAAGGACCACGACACGTGTCCACTTTGTAGAACTCAGGTTTGAAAGTACGTAATTTTGTTTTTTCTTCTAAAAATCCGGGAAAACGAAATTCGGTATCTTTCGGAATTCAAAATGAAAATTCGATGTTTCGAAATCGGAGATTTTTTTATTGGAAATGTTTGGAATTCAAAATTTCCATTTTCATTTTAGCCCCTATATTTTGTTTAACTGGTATAAAAAGTCCTCAATTTCAGCCAACAACTCTATTATGGTTACCGAAGTACGTGTTGGATTTAGGGGTGTTGAGATTTGCCCCTAAATATTTTTGTGAGTAAAATACTTTTGAAGTGCATATTATTTGAAATTCAAATTCAAAATTTTTTAGATAAACATTGATATCCCTTAATGTTTATTACTTTTATATATAAGATTGGGCACACTGTATTTATCTAATTATTAAAAAAACTCATCGTTCTAGTTTATTTAAATTAGTAAAATCCCCCCTACAATTGAAAAAATTAAAACAAACAAACAAACCAATAAAAAAAAAGGTTTAATCTCACTTTGCACTCTAGAAATATAGCTTTTTGTCACTTTGGACTCTTGAATTTTTTTTTATAGTACTTTGCACCATCGAAATATAATAAATCATATATAATGCACCCCGAATAAATTTTTAAAGCTAATAAGATAGTTTAATGTTTTTATGGTATTTTTTAGGATGCCAAATATCAATTTGTTTTATTGATGAATCTTTTAGAAACTACAAAGTGCAAAAATAAAAATACATCGCATCAACATATTCTAAAAAAAACACAAAAAAGTTCACAAAAACAAAAGGAACAAAAGAATATCATTCAGCTATTTAGGTATCAAGTTATTTGAAACTTATATTTTTCTCCAAAGATTTCTACCAACTATTTTCGCAAAATTATCGAATAATTTTTAGTGAGGTTTTTTTTTTGAGTAATTCGTCGTGATTTTTTTTTCGCATTATTACACTCGAAATTATGTTTGGTGGAAGAAAATAATAATAGAGTTTGTTATTTTGCACCATGAAAATAAAAAAACAAAAAGAAATGAAATTACCCTCATTAAGTTTTAAACACTCAATTCAGGGTGTATTGTATGTGATTGAATTATTGTATATCGAGGGTTCAAAGTGCTATTAATTTTTTTTCAAGGGTGCAAGAGTCAAAAAGCCACATTTCAAGGATACAAATTGGGATTAAGAAAATTTAAAAAAAAAAAAAAAAAAAAAAACACCTCATCAAGTAGGAATTTACGAGCTAACAAAACATAATGTGTGGTGATTTATGTTAATTGAAATAGCAAAAGGACTTTTATAGCAAACTAAAATAACACGAGGAGGATTTTGCAATTACGTCTTAATGATTTTCACTCCATATATAAATCCTCCTCTTGAATCTTTAATTATTACTAATCTTCTAGTCAGATTGGAATTCTATTTCGAATAAAATTAAATAGGATTTTCTATATAATAAACCCTCCTCTTGGATTAATGTAGTCCAAATTAATTTAGGGTAAAATCAAAATACGATCTAATATATATATTATTCTTCCGTTAATTAAATTTTCCATCAAATTTCAAGAAAAAAGCCTTAATAGATCAATTGATCATGATGATTTTTTTAGTAATCATGTCAATAATTGCTATAATAATAATGATAGGTGAATTGATTATATTTTGGACGAACAGGCGAAGAGAGGTTGCTGTGCAGTTGCGGCCGGTAATAGCGCCACCGCCAGCTCGGGTGTTGGTAGTAGTGCCAGCACATACACCGCCAGCTCAGACGGCGGCGACGGAGCGGCTCGCGGGCGGCGATGAAATAGTTTTCGACACTTTTATTCAAGAGAAGGCGAAGGAAGAAGGCGGATGTGCAATCTGTTTGGCGAAGTACGAAGACGGCGAAACCCTAGCAACGATTACGATTTGCAAGCATAGGTATCATGAATTTTGTATTAGGGCTTGGTTGAAGGACCATGACACGTGTCCGCTTTGTAGAACTCAAGTTTGAGTATATTGGATATTGCAATAGGTATAAATTAAATAGTATATACAATTAATGCAACTCCATGTAAATAGTCTAAATATTGATTATTAATTGTAGTGGTAAGTTAATCTATATTCTATTATTTAAAAAAAAAAGTTGTTTTTTTTTTTCAGAATTAAAAGTCGTTTTTGTTTAAAGTTCTTACTATTGAAAATAAGATTGTTGACACTTTTTAGTATCTGAATTTTGACTATGGATGATTTCTACTCTATGACAGATTAGTAAATCGAAAATATGTACTAATATCCATGCATGATGCATGTTGTATGAAAGGTAGAAGATTGATTCATAATAAAATTTATTTAAGTTTATGTAAAATAAACTCAAAAGTAGTATATTTATTAGAATTATTATTTCAGTCAACAAACTTTTTTTCAGTCAACGAATTATTATAGTATTATTATATTAAAACCCCCTCCTAAAAGTAATTAAAGAAAATCCCTTCCCGATTAAAAGTTAAAACAACCCTCCTAACAAATCTAAATTGCCTAATATAACCCTTGAAGGACCCTAATTCAATTATTCACTTCATATATAAATCCTCCTCTTGAATCTTAATTATTACTAATCTTCTAGTCAGATTGGAATTCTATTTCGAATAAAATTAAATAGGATTTTCTATATAATAAACCCTTCTCTTGGAATAATGTAATCCAAATTAGTTCAAGGAAAAATCAAAATCCCATCTAATTTATTATTCTTCCATTAATTAAAGTTTCCATCAAATTTGAAGAAAAAAAGGCTTAATTGATTGTCGATCATGGAATTTGGCATAGTACTCGTGTTAATAATTGTTTTAGGAGCATTAGTGTTGTATTTATTATGGAGGATCAAGCGAAGCGAGGATGCTATGCAGTTACCGGTGGTAGCGCCAGCACAACCACCGCCAGCTCAGGCGGCGACAACGAAGCGACTCGCAGACGGCGATGAAATAGTTTTCGACACTTTTATTCAAGAAAAGGCAAAGGAAGAAGGCGGATGTGCGATCTGTTTGGTGGAGTACGAAGACGGCGAAACCCTAGCGGCGATTACCTCTTGCAAGCATAGGTATCATGTGTTTTGTATTGGCGCGTGGTTGAAGGACCACGACACGTGTCCGCTTTGTAGAACTCAAGTTTGAATATATTGGATATATATTGTAATAGTAATTTATTTTATTTTGAGGTATAAATTAAATAGTATATACAATGCAACTTCATGTAACGTAGGGACATGTATATGTATATGTATGCACATTCTTTGATTTTAATTTTCTTGTAAATAATTATTTATTTTTCATTGTTATATTTTGATCACATATAGTTATGGCGATCATAAGATATTGATAAAAAAATATTTGGGAATATATGTTAGAAAATCGGAGGGTATCAGTTTGTTCGCTCGTTTTTTAATTCGGCAATCAATAGAATCATATATGAATTCTTATGCTATAAAAAATATGCTGTAAACTAATAAATCCAACTTATTAATTCATCTTTCACCAAAAGATTCCAGAATCTTGAGTTGTCCTTATATAGTAGATTAAACTTAATCGACTACTGCACGTAATCGATTAACCTTAATCCACTACGGCACATGATAGATTAACATGCGCGAACTTCATCAGCCCGCGTCGTTCTCCGCTCAAAAACCTTAGATTTACCACCATTACTCCACCACTAGCTAGCCTTGTTAACACCACTCGCCCTACACTTGCACCACCATCAATGCCACCACCACCAACACCTCTTCCAAAATATCCACCTCCACCTAGACCACCGCCTACGCTGCCGCCAAACCATTCAACTATACCCAAATCACCACCCTGCATCAGCGAGTGAGAAACGCCGCCGTTGTCCATTGTGCGCCGCTCCGCCACCGTTTTCGTCCGCGTCTCACATCATGGATCTGCCGTTCCCGTTGTACCAACCCCAATCTCAGTGACTCCGACATCACAACGACGGAGTCATGGTCCTTCAGATTATTAAGGAGGGAAATCGACAGAAGAGAGAAGAAGAAAAGAAAGTGAGAATGAGAGATTTCAGATTGAGAAGAAGAAAAAAAAAGGTGTAAAAGGCAAAGATGAAAAATTAGGGTTCAAGAAGATATAAATCTTTACAGGTAAAATTGCTAGTTTATTTCTATTAATTATCCAATCTATTAACTGAGTGGTTTTTCTCAAATTATTTATTTGAAGGGGGTCTACCTTACATCACTTTTCCAAATGAAGGGTCTACCATATATATATATATATATATATATATATATATATATATATATATATATATATAGAGAGAGAGAGAGAGAGAGAGAGAGAGAGAGAGAGAGAGAGAGAGAGAGAGAGAGAGAGAGAGAGAGAGAGAGAGAGAGAACACATATAGCAATATAAAATAACACGAGGAGGATTTTGCAATTTATGACTTTCACTCCATATATAAACTCTCTTCGTGAATCTTAATTATATTATTACTAATCTTCTAGTCAGATTGGAACTCTACTTCGAACAAATTAAATTGGATTTTCTATATCTATATATAAACCCTCCTCTTGTATTAATGTAGTCCAAATTAAAATCCGATCTAGTATATTTATTCTTCCATTAATTACCATCAAAGTTCAAGAAAAAAAGCCTTAATTGAAACGTCGATCATGGCCAATTGTATAGTACTCGTGTTAATGATCATGGCCAATTGTATAGCTCACCTGTATTTATTATGGAGGATCAAGCGAAGCGAGGATGCTTTGCAGTTACCGGTGGTAGCGCCAGCACAACCACCGCCAGCTCAGGCGGCGGCGACGACGAAGCGGCTCGCAGGCGGCAATGAAATAGTTTTCGACACTTTTATTCAAGAAAAGGCAAAGGAAGAAGGCGGATGTGCGATCTGTTTGGTGGAGTACGAAGACGGCGAAACCCTAGCGACGATTACCTCTTGCAAGCATAGGTATCATGTGTTTTGTATTGGGGCATGGTTGAAGGACCATGACACGTGTCCGCTTTGCAGAACTCAAGTTTGAGTATATTGGATATCGTCATATTGTAATAGTAATTTATTTTATTTTGAGGTACAAATTAAATAGTAATATACATGCAATTCCATGTAATATAACATGTATGTATATGCACAATCTTTGATTTTAATTTTCTTGTAAATAATTATTTAGTTTTCATTGTTATACTGTGATCACATATAGTTATGGTGATCATAAGATTGTGTGATAAAAAAATGTTCGGGAATATATGTTCAAAATCGGAGGGTATCGATCGGTTTGTTCTCTCGTTTTTCTTAATTCAGCATTCAAAGAACTTTTCATTATTTACGAATTAGAAGACGGTGCTCGATAGAATTGTATATGAATTCTTATGTAAGTCTAGATTAATAATTCCACCTTATTAACCTTATTAATTCATCTTTCTCCAAAAGATTTCAGAATCTTGTCTATGGTAACTTCATTAAAAGTTCAAATAATCCAAATAAGTTGTCGATATATATATATATACAGTAATATAGTTTATATATTAAAATCATTATTAATTAACCTGTAAATTACTTAATAGGGATACAAATTTTTCCTTGTTGATTTAATAAGAAGGTGAATATATATAGTTAAGTTACTATAAATAAGAAAGGATTTTTCGTAATTTGACCACCTGAAGGTGGTAATTTGCCCTTTATTTTTTTTACAATTAAACACATGACACGCAATAGGTAAACACGGTTCCTACTTTCCATATAATATATATCTATCTATATATATATATATATATACACGACACATATAAATATCCTATATATATACAATACATCAAACAGCAGATTATATTACAAAAACTGAAAAACCCTAGATAAACCATGGGCGAAAATTCGGTAGAATATCAATTCGG